TTCTAACTCTCTTTATCTCTCTCTCTTCCTCTCTGTAAAAAAAAAAAAAAAATCAATAAAATATATTTAAAAAAAAAAAAAAAAGAACGTGGGGATGGGCGTGAGGGAGGTGCCTGGGGGCAGGAGGGGCAAGATCACAGCCCCTGGGTGATGAGGGTTAGGCTTGGTGCTGAGGTTAGACCTGGTGAGGAAGGTTAGGCATGTGAGGAGGGAGCCAGGGGGACTAGGTCAGAGGAGGGGAGTGCCAGGTCCCTAACGGGACCCAAAAGGGAGGAGCAGGTCGTGCGGAGCAGGGATGCGAGGACGATCACTCCGTTCTCGGGGGCTCGCGGTGGCGCGTCCCTAAGGCGTTGCCGGCGGGATGGACCCGGCGCTCGGGGCGGCGCTGGTGTAGTTGCCCCCAAAGGCCGTGGAGATGAGCTCGCGCCGGCGGGGGCCCGGCCTGGTCCGGACGCAGGTTCACCGCCCGCCGCTCCCCGCAAGCTGCCCCGCCGCCCGCGGGCGCACCTGGTTCCGGCCGCCGTCAGGGCGGAGAGGCGCACGGAGGGGCGGTCTCGGCCCGCCCTCGCCCCGCGGCCGCCGCGCGCCGCCCGCTCCGGGAGGACCTCGCGCGGCCTCGGCCCCGCCAATCAGCGCGCTGCTCCGGCGCCGGCGCGCCAGTGACGCGGCCTCCTGCGCCCGGGGCGCCGGCCACGCCCCTCCGCGCCCGGCGGCCCGTTAACTGCGCGCCGCGCCTCCTGCGCGACGGCCCTGGGCGGCGGCGCGTGCGGACGCGGCTCGGCGCGCCCCCTGGCGGCCCGGCGGGGCGCGGCGGGCGCGGCGCTGACCCGGAGGCGGCGGCGGCGGTGCCCGGATGGAGGCACGTCATTGTCCCCCGCCGGGCGGCTGGGCTGTGTGCGGCGGCGGCGGCGGCGGCCGAGGGGGATGGAGCGAGCGCCGAGCCGGGTCAGGTAAGCTCCCGCCTCCTTCCCGCCCGCTGCCGGCCGGCGTGGGGCCCGCCCGGCGCTCCGCCCGCCGCCGCCGCGCCGGGCCCGGCCGCCCCTCCGCCGGCGCGGCCCGCCGGGGGCTGGCGCGGCCCCTCGCCCGCCGCCCCCTCCGCCGCCGCGGGCCGTCCGGGACCCCGCCGCGCCGGGGGCAGCGCCGCCATCGCCGGCCGAGCCAGGCCGCTGAGGAGGGGGCGGCGGCCGCGGCGGGCGCCCCGAGAGCCGGGCTGCGCCGGGAGGCCGGACCCCCGGTTGCCATGGACACTGCCCTCGCACCCCCACCCGGACCCAGTCCGCCCCCTCGGCCCGGGGGCCGGGCCCGGCGGGCGTGTCCGGGGCGGCCGCGCCGCATGGGTCTGCCCGGGGTGGGCGTGTGCCGGCCGCGGAGCCGGGCGTCCCCCGGCCGCCGGCCGCCCCCCGCGTGGCCGCCGCCGCCGCCCCCGGGGCCCCTCGGAGCCCGGGACCCTCCTCCCCGCCCCCATCCCGCCCCAAAGACACAAACTTTCCTCCGGCGCCCCCGGCCGCCGCCCTCCGGGCCGCCCGCTGGCTCCGCCGCCGGGTGTCCGCGAACCCGCGCCGGCCGCCGGGCTGAGCGGGCGCCGGTGTGTCCCCCCCAAAGCGCGCTCCTCTGGGCCGTGATCTTCACCTTCGGGCCGGGAAGAGCCCGCTCCCCTGGAGGGGCCGGGAGGGGCCGGCAGGCCCGGTGCGGGGAGAGGGAACCTGGCGGGACGGAGTTCCCGCTGCAGGGCTTGAACCTGGAGGCGGTGAGTGCAGCTGAGATCACTTGGTCGGTCGCTCTTTCATTTCCGAAGGCCGCAGGGCTGGCTTGTTGGTGGGAGAGCACGCCGATGACTTAAAGTGAAGCCACTAGAATAACAGAAAGAGCTGGTTGAGAAAACTAGGTTTGCCTCTTTTTTCCAAGGTAACTTCCCAGACATTCCCGCGGAGCTGACATTTCTGTGAGCGGTGAATGTTAACCGGTCCTCCTGACATTCACTCAGCGTGCGCCGGGGCACGGGAATAATCAGTTTCACGTGTGTGTGTGTGTGTGTGTGTGTGTGTGTTTTACTTAAGGTCAGTTTCACTTTCTTTTCTGTGCCATTGCACCAAGGCCACGCTGTTTTGTAAAGGCTTAAGGCTTGGTTGTGTTGCTGTCTTGAAAACAACTAAGTCAAGTTGTGTCTGTCTGCTGAAGCTTGTACGGGAATGCGGGTTACATTGTATGGAGCAGCAGGGTAACGGTTTCCTTTCAGTGTATCGATAATCACCTCAACGTATGTGGGGTTCCTTCATGTTTAAATAGCACATGCACGTTAAACATAAAAAGAGTGGTGCGTTCTGGCATTTGGTAGTGATACTAAGGGAGAATTACCATGTAAGAGACTCAGAATCTTAAGACTTTTGAGTGAAAGAGAGGAAACACACATCCAGCCTGATTCTTGTAGTACTTGCTTCTTTTCAAACATGCTTTTGTAACTTCTTGGATATCACCACAACATGTGGAGAGAAATGGTAACTTTTCCCTGAAGCAGCTGCTTGGCTGTCCTGAGGTTTGCTGCGCACAGAACATGTCAGGGGCTGCACCCTGGGGCCTGCACCCCGCTGCTTGGCTTCCAGAAAGGGGTTCTCTCTCGGATGAGGGAATTGGTTGGGTGCCTCATGGTTTCAGGGTATGAATTCATCAGCGGGATGAATAAATGAAAATGAATGGATGGTTTTGGTTTGCTTTCCCAACAGTATAATGCTATATGGTTATTGATGACTGAGCTGTATGCATTCCTACATTTTTTTTTTCACATAAGAATCCCTCCTTCCACTCAAAAAAGGCAGTTGGGCCAGTAAAGTGGATTTACTTGGTCATTTGTCAGTGATTGTCCTGAAAGGCTGTCTGTCCGGGGAAAAGCAAGGTTTCTGCTGTTTTGCTTCCTTGTAAGTAAGCCTTTCTTTACCTCCTTCTTTCCTCTTCCTCTTCTGTTTTCTTACTCTTGTCTTCACACTGTTTCTTAATTTCTTTTGACTCTTCGGTGAGAAAGATGTGAAATTTTTGGATAATATGGCTCAAGTCTTCCTCCTGAATGAAGGTCCAGTACCTATTTTTTTTCTTTTTCCCCTTTTGTTTGCTTTTTCCTTTTTCTGTTTCTTAGATTGACTTAAAATTTCAGTTCAGTTTTTATTTTATTAAGATGTAAATAACATCTTCTGTTTTTATGTAAGTGTCCGAAAAGTTTTTTAAGGTTAGATTTTTGGGGGAGAAGCAATCTTGCATTTATTTAAAATTATAACAATTTGAGGCTTAAAATAAAAACTTCTTATGAGCAGATAGTGCATTGTAACGTTTGTTGAGGCGGCAGGTACATGGGTATTTATTATCTGCTCACTGTATTGGATATTTTTAAAACAAGTTTTAAATGCTGTTCCAGCTTCATAGTTGTTAAAGGATTAAATGAGATACTGTATATGAATCACTCAGCACAAACTGGTGCTACAGCAAACACTGGTTATTTTCTATCTCCAGAAGTCATTCATTTGTTCAGCACCGTCTGGGAAGCTTTCTGTATGCCAGGCCTGGGGTTCTGGTAAGCACCTGTTGGAGAACAGCAGTAGGTGCCGAAGGGCTGCTGTGTGTAAGCACTAGGTGCTGGGAGCCTGTGGGAGGGGGTGTAACCCAGTTCTTGGGGGAGGAGGTTGTCAAGGAAAGTGTCCCAGAGGAAACGGATGCTAAACTGAGAGTGGAAGTGTTCACTGGCTGGAGGTGGAAGGGGGGAGCAGAGAGGTGAAAGGAACAGCACAGCTGAGCGCAGAGAGCAGGTGGGAATGGACCTTGGGGGGCGGGGGGGAGTGTGTGTGTGTGTGTGTGTGTGTGTGTGTGTGCGTTCTTAGGGCAGGCAGTGCCAAGGCTAGGTGTTAGGAGGATGTGCTGGGGCAGTCAGGGCACACCAGATTTGGCTGTTACCTGGCAGTTTCGGAAGCATTCTTAAAAGTAGTGTATTGACAGGTTGGTAGAGCCAGAAGGAACCCCAGTCAGGAATGTTGGACCTGGTCCCTAGTCCTAGTGGCTGCCTAGTTTGGGTTATATTTGTGCATTTTATAGATCCTGTGGATTCTATCCAATGTCTCACAGGCCCATTATGAAAGTTAAATAAGGTACTGTATAAAAAGCATAAAAGTACCTAATTGTATTGGGCTTCCTTGTAAAGTCACATATACCAAATAAATGAGTCTTCAGAAAAATGTGCTTCAGAAGTAAACTTCCTATACTTGAATGCAATGTATTCCAAACAATGTCTTTTGGACTTTATTTTCAGAATTAAAGCTAGATTTTCTCTGTGTAGCTGAGACTTTTCCCTGGAGAATTATAGATGGATTGAGAATTGAGTCGCATGCGTTAGTGCGTTTCACATTGTAGTTCTAAGCAATTCCAGTTCTAGTTCTAAGAAAGAAAAAATATGGGTACTTGGTAAATGTATAGAATTGGAAATTGAGGTGCCTGATTATAAATTGTGATAATTTTAAAAGGCATGGAATAGAATGATAATATGTAATCAAATATTTCATTGAAGGTTTTTAAAAAATGTATCTTTATTGATTTCAGAGAGGAAAGGCGAAGGGGAGAGACAGAGACATCAGTGATGAGGAAAGGCATTGATCGGCTGCCTCCTGCACACTTCCCACTGGTGTTGAGTCTGCAACCCAGGCATGTGCCCTTGATCAGAATGGAACCTGGGACCCTTCAGTCCGCAGGCCGATGCTCTCCACTGAGCCAAACTAGCTAGGCCCATTGAAAGTTTGGTTTTTTTTCCCCCCCATGGAAAGTTTTATAATTAAAAATTGTTGCTGTGTTCAGAGTAGACAATACTAAATATCCTGAAGAAATTATTACAAAGTGAAAACTGCTGTTACTTTGAAGGTAGTAAAAAATTATAGAATAACTTTCTGAGATCTAATGGTAGAATAACTAGGTTATTTCCTAATCTTATGAAAGAAATGTGTGCTTTTTGTCTTTTGCAGAGTTGAACAATGACCATAGTTGACAAAGCTTCTGAATCTTCAGAGCCTTCATCCTATCAGAACCAGCCTGGCAGCTCTGAGCCAGTCCCACCTGGAGACATGGAGGCAGGGTCTGCCAGCTGGGGTGCTGTGTCCTCACTAAATGATGTTTCAAACCACACGCTTGCTTTGGGACCAGTGCCTGGTGCTGTAGTGTATTCAAGTTCATCTGTACCTGATAAATCAAAACCATCACCACAGAAGGATCAAGGTACTTTTTAAAAGTCAGAATTATTCCAAGAAACTCTTGTTTAAACGCTGTCGATGGATTGGTAGTTTCAGAGGGCTCTTATTTTGCACGACATATTGCCGCCTGAGTGGCCAGCCAGTTACATTATGATGGGCTTCATTTTCCTCTGCTGCTATTCATGAGTAACATACGTATTATAACAAGGGAGATGATTACTGTGATATTGTAGTTTTTTATTTTATTTTAAAAAAAATATGTTTTCATTGGTTTTTACAGAGAGAGGAAGTGAGAGGGATAGAGAGATGGAAACATTGGTGTAAGAAACATCATCATTCGGCTGCCTCCTGCACGCCCCCAACTGGGGATCAAGCCCACAACCCAGGCATGTGCCCTTGACCAGAATCGAACCCGGGACCTTCAGTCTGCAGGCTGACACTATCCACTGGGCCAAACCCATAGGGCATGATTTTTTATTAATACATAGTATTATTGAAGAGACCATTTAGAGTTCTCCACATTCTGAGTTCTGCCTGTATCCCCTGTTTTCCTGGTAGCTGGTAATAAGATTTAGAATTTTCATCAGATTCAGGTTGGATGTGTTGCTATTTATTTAGCTTCAAAAGCATACGGAGCTTTGTTATTACATATTTGTCTTTATTTCTCTAGCCCTAGGTGATGGCATTGCTCCTCCACAAAAAGTCCTTTTCCCGTCTGAGAAGATCTGTCTTAAGTGGCAGCAAACGCACCGAGTCGGAGCCGGGCTCCAGAATTTGGGCAACACTTGCTTCGCCAATGCAGCGCTGCAGTGCCTCACGTACACGCCGCCTCTCGCCAACTACATGCTCTCGCACGAACACTCCAAGACGTGTGAGTCTCCTGTTTTACGTTACACGGGTTCCGTTGTGGTATCCAGCCTACTGCCATTTTCTTCTCTGAAATGAAAGGGAGGAATTAGCCAAGAATTCTATGATCACTAAGCAGTTGGCTTAATTCTTTTAGGAACCCTGCAGGCAGACTGAGATTTGTATTCGGGTTGGATAAGAAGCATTTTGCACCTAGTTTGACCTGTGAAGTTATTTTAAAAGAAACATATTTTAGCAGCATTTGGCATGTTAGAACCCTTTGCTGGCTTCCTACCCTTGCTAAAAAATGTGGCACGAATGTTTGCCACCGGGCGGTATTGGAATCCTGCTCTGGTACCCACCTGTGTGGTGAGCTTGATTCCCTCAGTGGTTGACTAACAAAATTCAGGACTGACTTAGAGCATACCCATTTCTGAGGATTTGACCTGCACGTGTTGAAATATCCTTCAGCCTTTGTAAATGAAGTCTCCCGTTCTCTGATCTGCATTGGGCTCAGATTTGCATGTGTATGTCAGGTGGCTGTTCATTCGTTATCAGTGTGAAAAAGAGCCCTGTTTCTTTTTGAAAAGTCGTTAGTGGAGGATTTGAACTGGTTCTTTTAAAGTTGTTTTTTGCGCCCCAAAGAACAAAATAATGCTTATGAAGAATTTTGAAAATACAGGAAATTTAAAGAAACCGAAGGAAAGTGGCCGAGAGCCTGGCTGCCGGACTGTGTGCTGGCCGCAGGGTTTTAGGTTACAGAGTGAGCGTTCTGCCTGCCGCATGTCCTCCCTTTCTAAGTCCCCAATTCGTTCCCCACAGACAGCTCTCCTGTCACCTTGTGCTTACTGAAAGAAGGGTGTGGGGCAAACCTAGCCCTGGCACCTGGACAGCAAGAGACAAAAATTCAGAAGCTCCGGTGTCCAGAATTAGGTGCTGCCTGCTTTTTATGCTATTGCAGTTTTCTCTCTCCTCTCTGTTTCCCTGCTTTATGGAAGTGCTGGAGGCCTAATGCACGAAAATTCATGCCAGAGTGGGCCTTCCTTCCCCAGCGGCCCCGCCGAGTATGCCTTCCTTCCCAGGCTGCCGGCCCCGCTTCCCTCCGCACGGGACCCCGCTTCCCTCCTCCGGCCTCTGGCAGACACTGGGACTTGGGCTGGCTCCCTCTGGCCCCCGCTTCCTCAGGAAGGATGTCTGTCTAATTAGCACATTACCTTTTATTATTATAGCTTATAGATAATTGGTACATAATAAAGTGCACATATTTAAAATATACCATTTGGTGCATTTTAACATTTGTATATACCCATGGAACTATCACCGCGATTAAAATAATGCCCCTAACCAGTGTGACTCAGAGGTTGAACTAGGAGGTCATGGTTGATTCCCAGTCAGGGCATTTGTGGGCTTGATCCCCAGTGTGGTGCATGCAGGAGGCAACCAGTCAGTGATTCTCTCTCATCATTGGTGTTTCTCTCTCCCTCTCTCTTTCTCTCTGAAGTCAGTAAAAATACATTAAAAAAGATGATGCACCTTTTCACCACCCCCCACGTTCCGATTGCCCCTTTGAAGTCGCTCCCTTTTGCCCTTTCCTACCTCTCCTCCCCTCCATCCCAGGCAACCATGGATATGCTTCTGTTTACTAGAGGTTAGCTTGTGTTTTCTAGAATGTCATATAAGTGGAATTATATACAGTATATGTTTCATATTTCCTGGTCTCTTTCAGCACAATTATTTATATTCATGTTGTTGCATGTATCAATAATTAATATTGCTAAGTAGTATTCTACTGTATGGATATACCACAGTTTGTTTCTTCATTCACCTATTTAAAAAATTTTTTTTAAAACATATTTTATTGATTTTTTACAGAGAGGAAGGGAGAGGGATAGAGAGTTAGAAACACTGATGAGAGAGAAACATTGACCAGCTGCCTCCTTCACACCCCCCTACTGGGGATATGCCTACAACCAAGGTACATGCCCTTGACCGGAATCGAACCTGGGACCCTTCGGTCCGCAGGCCGATGCTCTAGCCACTGAGCCAAACCGGTTAGGGCTACGTTCACCTATTGATGGGCATTTGGGTTATTCTCCATGTGGGGCCATCATGAGTTAAGCTGCTATGACCATTTGTAAACAGGACCTCATAGGACATGTTTTCACTTCTCTTGGGTAAATACCTAGGAGTGGAATGATTGGTCCCATAGCATGTCCGTGTTTAATTTTAAGATACTTTCAAGCTGTTTCCCAGAGGGATTGTGGTATTTCACATTTCCACCAGCAGTGAACGAACATTTCATTTTGCTCCGTACCTCGCCTAATACTTGGTGTGACCTTTCCAATTCTTGCTATTTTAATTGGTATGTTGTCTGGTAATGCCTTACTTGTAGCTTTAATTTGCTCTTTCCTAATGAATAATGTTGAACATCTTACCACATGGTTATTTTCCAGCCATATATTTGCTTTACTAAAACACCTGTTCATATCTTTTGCCTGATTTAAAATTGGGTTCTTTTCTAATTGTTGAGTTTTGAGAGTTCTTTATAGTTCCTGGATAGAAGCTCATTATCAGATATGTAATTTGCAAATATTATCTCCCAACCTGAAGAAACATATTCTCTTCACACTGACTTTATTTATTTATTAATATATTTTATTGATTTTGTACAGAGAGGAAGGGAGAGAGATAGAGAGTTAGAAACATCGATGAGAGAGAGTCATCCATCAGCTGCCTCCTGCACCCCCCCCCCCCACTGGGAATATGCCTGCAACCAAGGTACATACATACCCCTGACCGGAATCGAACCCGGGACCTTTCAGTCCCTAAGCCAACGCTCTATCCATTGACCCAAACCGGTTTCGGCTTCACACTGACTTTAGAAGAGCATGTTTTTAGGTTTAAAGAATTCCACCTCATTCTTTTTATCAGTTATTGTTTAGGTGTTGTATTAAGAAATCTGCTTAACCAGAGGTCACAAAGATATCCTCTATATTTTCTTTTTAATTTACATACTAGTGGCCCGGTGCACAAAATTCATGTATTGGGGTGGGGGGTTGTTCCTCAGCCTTCACCCTTTCCAATCTGGGACCCCTTGGGGGATGTCTGATTGCCGGTTTAGGCTAAACTGGCAGTCAGACATCCCTCTCGAAATCTGGGACTGCTGGCTCCTAACTGCTCACCTGCCTGCCTGATCAGCCCTAACCAATCTGCCTGCAGCCTGCTCATCCCCAGCTGACCCCCTGCCCCAACCAACCTTCTCGCCCCTAACTGCTCCCCCTTGCTGGCCTGCTCACCCCAACTGCCCCCCCATCAGCCTGATCACCCCTAACTGCCCTCCCCTCCTGGCCTGATCACCTCTAACTGCCTCTGCCTCAGTCCAGCCCAGCCACCAGGGTTTTGTCTGGAAGAACATCTGGAAGGTCTCCCTTTCTAATTAGCATATTACCCTTTTATTAGTATAGATATTTTTATTGACTTCAGAGAGGAAGGGAGAGAAAGAGAGAGAGAGCAACGTCATTGATGAGAGAGAATCATTGTTTGGCTGCCTCTTGCAAGTGCCCCTACTGGGGATCGAGCCCACAACCCAGGCATGTGCCCTTGACCAAAATCAAACCTGAGACCCGTCAGTCTGCAGGTTCTATCCACTGAGCCAAACTGGCTAGGACTCCTCTGTATTTTCTTTTAGAAGTTTTATAGTTGTTTAAAAAAAAAAAAAAAAAAAATATATATATATATATATATATATATATATATATATTTTTTTTTTTTTTTTATTTCAGAGATGAAGGGAGAGGGAGAGATAGAAATATCGATGATGAGAGAGAATCATTGATTGGCTGCTCCTCCACACCCACCACTGGGTATTGAGCCTGCAACTGGGCATGTGTCCTTGACTGGAATCGAACTGGGAACCCTTCAGTCCACAGGCCGGCACTCTATCCACTGCGCCAAGCCAGCTAGGGCTAGAAGTTTTATAGTTTTACAATTATCCATTTTGAGTTGATTTTTGTTTATGATGTAAAGAATGGATGGAAATTCATATTTTTCAATATGGATATCCAGTTGTTCTAGCACTATCTGTTCAAAATACAGTCCTTTCTCTACTGATTTGCCTTTTCACTTTTGTCAAAAGTCACTTGACCATATACATATGACTCTATTTCTGAACTCTCTGTTCTGTTACATTGATCCATCATTTACCTTGACACCATAACACAGTGTCTTGATTACTGTATATTTAAGTTTTGAAATCAAGTAAGTCCTCCAACTTCGTTCTTTTTTTTCGAAGTTGTTTTGGCCATACTTGGTTCTTCGCATTTCCAGATGAATTTTTGAACCACTTTGTCAATTTCTACAAAAAAGTTTTCTGGAATTTTGATTGGGGTCATGTTGAATCTATAAATCAAGCATGTCAAACTCAAAGGCTAACACGGGCCAAATAAATAAGGTTTAAGTGTATGTGGGCCACAAAAAAACAAAACTTCAGTTTTCATAGAAACGTAGGTTTATTTCAATAGATACGTGCTAAATACACAGGGATGAAATAAATGAGTAATTGTTAACAAAATAATACAGCATGTTAATAAAAATTAATACTTTTTCTTGAACATTAACCTATCAGACACTAAATAACTACACAGATTAATAAGCTTAACGCAAATAAAGCTATTTTTCTTGTTCTTCGAAATCAAAATATTTCCTATTGCGCACACCAAACAAGTCCGTACAGGATAATGACGTGGCCATCGGCTGCTAGAATATTCACTGCTGGTATTAGTGGAGAGATGGTGCACCTGTGTGTAAGGGAAATGAATGCAACATGATTACAGTCATCAATCCTTAGCGAATGTTGTTAGTTATTAATAATTATGTATAGCAGGATATTGTAAAACTTAAGTTAAAATTGTTTTATTAAAACGTTTCTTACATGTCTTATTGGCTGGGATGCAAAAATATTCGTTCTAGGCCACATGTGTTTAACATGCTTGCTATAAATCAATTTGGGATAAATTGACATCTAAACAATATTGTCTTCTGACCCACAAACAAGGTATGTCCATTTATTTAGTGATCTTTAATTGTTCTTAGCAATGCTCTACATAATGTACACATTTTAAGTCAGATTTATTCCTAAGGATTTTATTTTTTGAAAGTTATTACAAATGGTAATAGTTTTAAAATTTCAGTTCTGATTGTTTATATTGCTAGAATATAGAAATGCAATTGATTTTTGGGAGATGCAATTGATTTTTGATGTTGATCTTGCAGGTTTGGTAAACTCGCTTATTTTTTTAAAATCTCTTTCTTTTTTTGATCCAAATATATGTTTATTGATTTCAGAGAGAAAGAGAGGGAGAGAGGGATGGGAACATCAGCGATGAGAGAATCACTGGTCCGCTGCCTCCTGTATGTTCCATACTGAGGGTCAAGCCACAACCTGGTGAGGTGCCCCGCCCAAGACTCCAGCGGACAGTGACCTCCGGGTTCATAGGTCGAAACTCAACCGCTGAGCCACACCTGCCGGGCTAATTCCAGTAGCTGATGCCTTAAGATTTTATATAGAGACGTCATGTGGTCTGTGACGAAGGAAGACTGTACTTCATTTCTAGATGCACTCAAAAACATTATAAATAAATCAAATTACAATAATTTAAAACATTCAAGTAACCCACAGGAAGGTAGGGATAAGAAAACAAATGAAAAATAGATAGAACAAACAAAAAGCAAGATATAAATTATCAGACTTAACTTCTAATACATCCTTAATCATCATAAATATAAATGTTCTAAAAAGGCCCAGATTAAGAAAGTGGATTTAAAAACATGACTCGGACAAGAATCAGTGGGCAGTGCTCTTGGTCCTGGACCCGTCTCCTGCTTCAGCAGCGTTTGGACGGACAGACCAGGGCGCCCCTTCCAGCCTGCGGCCCCTCTCCTGCTCTCATCCGGCCACACCTCAGCACCACTGCCGCCCGGCCCGCACCCGTGATTTCCTGCCTTAACTCCTGCTGCCCAGCAGCCTGCAGGTGGAGTTACTCACTGAGGTGGGGGCTGCACCTGCGGCCTCCTGTGCCGCCTCTGCGCTGCTATTTCCACGGGGACCATGCGGCTCTCGAGGGCGGGGCCACTTCTTGGGCAGTTGGCAGAGAAGCAGGAGGGCGCTGAGCATCTTAAAACCCAGGCCGCACAGAAACCGCCGGGATGGTGGGCAGAGCCCAGGCCACCGTGGCAGCCCGGGCCCCGAGAGGGCCTGCCCCAGGCCCGTGGGGAGCTCCGGCCCGGTTCCGCCCGCGCAGCCCCTCCCCGGGGGCCGCCCGGAGCCCCTCCTGGGGAGGAGTGATGCTCCTCAAGATGGCCGGCCCCTGACAGCGCAGGCTGCGCCCAGGCTGGGCAGGGGGGGGGGTCCCTCCGGAAGGCTGGCCCTTGAGCACCACCAGGAGCTCTGGACCCAGAGGCCCCTCTGCACCCTCCGTTTCACCCGAGCCTCTTCCCCCAGCTACTGGCCACTCTTCATCCACCCTGGAGCCCACACAATGGCCGCGGCTGGTGTTCCTTAGTATTTAGAGCATTGGCCTGCGCAGTGCGGGTCCGCGGGTTCTATTCCTGGTCAAGGGCAAAGCACCGGGGTGCAGGTTTGACCTCCAGCCCTCCTTGGAGATGGTGGGAGGCAACCAGTCAACTGATGTGTCTCTCACATCGATGTGTTCCCCCGGCATTGCCCGTTCTCCCTTCCACTCTCTAAAAATCAATGGAAAAAGTGTTCTCAGGTGAGGATTAGCAACAATAAAAATCAACCAAAGAATGCATAAATAAGTGAGTCAACAAATCCTTCCCCTTCCACTTTCTTTCCAAACTCTATAATAATAAAAGCGTAATATGCTAACTAGACGGGTCGTCCAGAAGGACAACCTTCTGAACAAAGCCGAGGCTGCAAGGGAAGCCCGGGTCCGGGTCCGGGTCCGGGTCCGGGTGCCTGCTGGCAGCCAGAGGGAAGCCCAGGTCCCGGTGCCCGAGGGAAGCCCGTGTGCAGTGGGGGAAGGAAGGCCTGCTCATGCATGAATTTCCATGTCAAGCCTCTAGTTAATATAAAAATAAAAATAAATTTTTTTGATCACTGTTTTAATCAATTTGTGTTGGTTTCATGTTTCCTCTGTTGAGGTTTTTATATTTGTGGTTTACTGTTTCAAATCTATAACTTTCAGTTATTGAAGCACTTAATTTTTATATTTAACTAAGTCAATAGTTCTATGGATTCTAGCACAGGTATAGAGTCTTGTAATTACCAGTTCAAGTCAGGACACAAAACCATTCTATCGCCTCTGTAAAAACTCCCTATGTTGTACCTTTGTAGACAATCATTTCTTTTTAAAAAAATATATTTTTAATGATTTCAGAGAGAAAGGGAGAGGGAGAGATAGAAACATCAGTGATGAAAGAGCATTGATCGGCTGCCTACTGCAAGTCCCTCATTTGGCATCGAGCCTGCAACCTGGGCATGTGCCCTTGACCGGAATCGAACCTGGGACCCTTCAGTCTGCAGGCTGACGCTCTATCCACTGAGCCATACCAGCTAGGGCAACAATCATTATTTCTTGAAAGACTTCATTTATGTGCATATTAGGGACAACTTGATGTAGTCCCACTGCTCAATGGTGATATGCTTATGTTTTCTGTTGTTTTGAGTTTTTATTTTCTCTGTTTCATATGGATAATTTATACTGCTCAGTCTAACCTGGTATCTTTTTATCTCAGAAATTTTGCTTCTCAATTGTAAAGTACAAATGGGCCAGTTTCCTTATCTGTTCTTAACATGCTCTTGCTTTTTCTCTGCCTCCTTGAACATATACATATGTGTATAATGTCTTTCTAAACATCCTTGTCTTTTGATTCTAGTGTGTGTCATTTTTGGGTCTGTTTATGTTTTTTCTTGTTCTTGGTCATTCCTGCTGCTTGTACTCTGAGTTTAGAATTTCGTGTTGTTGGGGGCTAGATTATTAAAATTACATTATTTCTAAAAGTAAAAATAAATATCTTTTAGCTTTGTTCAGGGACACAGTTCTGTTCATTGGGAGTAGATTGGGTTCTTTTGAGACTTTTAAAACGTTGTTAGGCAGGTTCTGAGCAGCCTTTAGATAAGAAAGTGTTTCTCAGCCTCAGCATTGTGGCGTTGTAGTTCTTGTGAGGGCCGTCCTGTGCTTTGCGGGTGCAAGCAGCACTGTGCCTCTACCCACTCTATGCCAGTAGCACTCATAGTCATGAGCTGAGCGTGGTTTTCACCCTTTAAAAAGTTGTAGAGTCCTAGCCCGTTTGGCTCAGTGAATAGAGCGTTGGCCTGCAGACTCAAGGGCCCTGCGTTCAGTTCTGGTCAAGGGCTCAATGCCCAGAAGGTGGCGTGCAGGAGGCAGCCCATCATGATTCTCTCTCATCATTGATGTTTCTCTCTCTCCCTCTCCCTTCCTCTCTAAAATCAATAAAAATAAATAAGGTCCTGGCCGGGTAGCTGTGTTGGTTAGAACATCATCTCAGTATGCCAAGGTTGTGAGTTCGATCCACAGTCTGAGCACATAAAAATCAACCAGTGAGTGCATAAATAAGGGGAACAACAAGTCAGTGTGTGTGTGTGTGTGTGTGTGTGTGTGTCTTGCAGATCAATAAATATTAAAAATAGCCCTAACTGATTTGGCTCAATAGAGCGCCGGCCTGTGGACTGAAGGGTCCCAGGTTTGATTCTGGTCAAGGGCATGTACCTTGGTTGTGGGCACATCCCCAGCAGGAGGCAGCTGATCAATGTTTCTAACTCTCCCTCTCCTTTCCTCTCTGTAAAAAATCAATAAAAATATATTTTAAAAAATAAATAAGTAAAATAAATAAATAGTTGTAGAAAGAAAAGAAGAGCAGCAATGAGACCACCGTATTTAGCCAAAAAAAGCCAAATATTTATAGAGAGATTTCCAGTCCCCAGTATGGGAGACATTCTTTTCCTGTTGGAGGGAAATGGTAGTGTGCAGAAAATACTTTTCCTTAGAGAGAGTTAACACAGGCCTTGAAATTAGAGTATGATTTGTTATGTGTTTGCCACTTAATAATTATTTGACATTGGGAAAAATTATTTTTAATCCTCACCCAAGGATATGTTTTTATCGATTTTGAGAGAGAGAGAAACATCAATGTGAGAAAGAAACATAGATCGGTCTCCTTCTGTACATGCCTGGTCAGGACTTGAATCCAAAACCTGGGTATGTGCCCTGACTGGGAATCGAACCCAGAAGCTTTCGGTATATGGGGCGATGCTCTACCCAACTGAGCCACCCAGCCAGGGCATGACAGTGGGCCAGTTTTGAACTCTGCACTTCGGTTGTGAAAGAGAGTCGGCATGTGCCTCTCAGTGAGGTTTGGGGGAATTAAATGGCTGCACAAAAGCGTATGGCTCAGTGCGTGACACATGCAGCTGTTAATATTGTTTCAGGATTGTCTCTGTAGTATCTCTGATGTGTATGTAGAGTCATATTTACTAATTTGGAGGATTATTATCTCTTATCTTTCAGGTCATGCAGAAGGATTTTGTATGATGTGTACAATGCAAGCACATATCACCCAGGCACTCAGTAATCCTGGGGATGTTATTAAACCCATGTTTGTCATTAATGAGATGCGGCGTAAGTATCATTGATAGTTGTTTATGTTAGTATTTATTAGCTAATTGGTCTTAATGGCCTACTGATAAAAGATGAGCCTGTTGTTTATTATAAAAACAAACAAACATTTTATCATACACGGAGATGACTTTGATAACATTCTTTTCATCAGACAGTTATTACATAAACAGATTTTGAAGCCTTAAAGCAAAAGAAAGCAATATAAAAAGAAAATAGTACTCAGATTAATCTAAACAGATGAAAAAAATTTTAACTCAATTTGTTAATAAAATCATTGATAGCCGAAACCGGTTTGGCTCAGTGGATAAAGCATCGGCCTGTGGACTGAAAGGTCCCGGGTTCAGTTCCGGTCAAGGGCATGTACCTTGGTTGTAGGCACATCCCCAGAGGGTGTGCAGGAGGCAGCTGATCGATGTCTCTCTCTCATCAATGTTTCTAACTCTCTGTCCCTGTACCTTCCTCTTTGTAAAAAATCAATAAAAATATTTTTTTAAATGTTAAAAAAATCATCGATAATTTTACAATGAGTTTTCCCCTAGATACTTGATTTTTATGCTGAGTAGTACTAACTCTATGACGTTGTCCTACATGTTTCTTTATTTTATTATTATTATTTTTTAATATATTTTATTGATCTTTTACAGAGAGGAAGGGAAAGAGACAGAGCTAGAAACATTGATGAGAGAGAAACATCGACCAGCTGCCTCCTGCACACACCTCACTGGGGACGTGTCCGCAACCAACGTACATGACCTTGAAGTGAATCGAACCTGGGATCCCCCAGTCCGCAGACCGACGCTCTATCCACTGAGCCAAACCGGCGTTGGCCTAATGTTTCTTTAAATTGGTTTGAATTAGTTTCACTATGTAGAGTGTCAGTAATTGCCAAAATAAAGTTAATTACACTTTTAAAGATTTATATTCCTTAGCAAATTTGTGGATAAATTTTATTTTTTCTATTTAATTTTTAAATGACTTTTAAATCTTTCTCTCGCATTGCAATGATACAAAATTTTCTTACGTACTTTGTGTGTGTGTTTTCGCAATAAACTTTTACATCATCTTAAGTTGGAGTAAAAAATGCGTGCAAATTTAAAACCACCTAATTCTTTTTTCTTTTTTCTTTTTTCTTTTTTTTATCAATTTTTTACAGAGAGAAAGGGAGAGAGAGATAAAGAGCTAGACACGTTGATGAGAGAGAAACATCGACCAGCTGCCTCTTGCACACTCCCTACCGGGGATGTGCCCGCAACCAATGTACATAACCTTGACCGGACTCAAACCCGGGACCTTTCAGTCCACAGACTGACGCTCTACCACTGAGCCACACCGGCTTCGGCTAAAACCACCTAATTCTTAATCTGATACCTAACTAGATAATTACAGGGGTGGATAATCATACAGTTACAAATATTCACAATGTAAACATTTTTAAAACATCATTGGATTCTGGCAAAATTTTAGCTGAGGATGATTTTTTTGTTTTTTAATAAATATATAATAAATATATATAAGGCATGATTAATATTTTTCTAAATCTTTAAGAAAATATAATTTCTGTGTGCTTGTGTGCATTTATATCCATGAATGTACATACATACACACACACAGTTTAATTATGAAATTGCCATTTTTGTAGATCAGAGCTGCTAGAATATTGGCAGTTCATGACTTAAGCTAATATATAATAATATAATATATTCATGCATATAAAACTCTACATATGGCCGAAACCGGTTTGGCTCAATGGATAGAGCGTCGGCTTGGGGACTGAAAGGTCCCCGGTTCGATTCCGGTTGCGGGCATATCCCCAGTAGGGGGTGTGCAAGAGGCAGCTGATCGATGACTCTCTCTCATCGATGTTTCTAACTCTCTATCTCTCTCCCTTTCTCTCTGTACAAAATCAATAAAATATATATTTTTAAAAATTTTTTAAAAAATAAAATTCTACATATGAAGTTTTATTTATACTTTTGCTTAGATTTTTTTATTATGCAATTTTGTCTTGTACTGTTTGTTCATTTAGAAATAGGACTGAAATGCTGCTGAGGTACAATGTACAGGTTATCAGGGTATCAATGTACAGATTATTGACCGGTTTCAACATTGACGTCCTGCATGGATTCTCGTGGAGAGATTAGCACCAAATTTAAGATGTCTGTAGTGACATAACGTGGCGGACAGATTCTGAGGCAATAGAGCCAAGTTGAGTTTATTCAAGTACAACTTGACCAACTCACGGAAGCCTTCGCGCATCTCTGGCCTCACTCTGGGCTCAGATTCTAGTCCGTGTGGACTTCAGTGGCGAACTCTTCTCGGAACAGCTGGTGTTGGTGCTGTTTGTCCAGTAATGATTACCAGTGTATTCTCACGAACATGTTGTCATAAGATAGAACTTTTGGGGGTTTCAGCCCGGTCCTCTATGTGATGATAAAGCTTTATCTTGAATTTTATAGGTATAGCTAGGCACTTCCGTTTTGGAAACCAAGAAGATGCCCACGAATTCCTTCAATACACTGTTGATGCTATGCAGAAAGCGTGCCTGAACGGCAGCAATAAGTAAGTGCAGCGCACGCAGCCGTTCTCCCGGCCGCCACGAGCCCTGCGTCTCCTCAGCCCGCTGAATGCTTGCTCTTCTGTAGATGCATGTGCTTTTGCGATCTCATATGGCATCTGTGATTTCTGTGAACTCTTCTCTCATATCTCCGTCTGTTTTCCAGATTAGACAGACACACCCAGGCCACCACGCTTGTTTGCCAGATATTTGGAGGCTACCTAAGATCGAGAGGTAAACTTTCATTTAAAACTTTCATTAAAGTGGCCTGGCCAGTATGGCTCAGTGGGTTGGAGTGTCATCCTGGGCAGCCCATGCATTGGAAGGTCGCAGGTTGGAGTCCTGGTCACGGCACTTAGTTAGATTGTAGGTTCAGTCCTTGATTGGCAACCGATCTGTTTCTCTCTCACATTGATGTTCCTCTCTCTCCGTCTCCCTCCCTCTTCCTCAATTCAATAAAAACATGCTCAGGAGAGAATTAAGAAATAAAAAGAATTTTTTTAAAAGTTGATAAGATGATCCATACAGATGGTTTTTAAAAAGCGAACTGTAGAAAGGATTTAGAATGGAAAGTGTGCCCTGACCGGCTGGCTCAGTGGCTGGAGCGTCAGCCTGTGGATTGAAGGGTGTCAGGTTCGATTCCGGTCGGGGGCAGGTGCCTTGGTTGTGGGCACATCCTCAGTAGGGGGTGTGGAGGAGGCAGCTGATTGATTTCTCTCTCTCATTGATGTTTCTAACTCTCTATTCTTCTCCCTTCTACTCTGTAAAAAAAAAAAAAAAATCAATAAAATATATATTTTTTAAAAAGAAAAGAATGGAAAGTGTGTCCTCCGTCCAGCCCAGACTTCCAGCCCCCTTCTCAAAGACAGTCTTGTGCTAGCTTCTAGTGTCCTTCCAGAAGCTTCCTGTGCATGAAAGGACTGGGAGCTGTTAGATGTGGCCCTTTCCGTTTTCTCCTAACACTAGTCGTTTTTCACACTTCAGCACACACAGGTCTAACGTCTTTCACAGCTGCGTCGTTTCCCATTTATCCCCTGTCAAGGAGTACTCAGGTCACTTCCAATTTGTTAAATGATCCTCAGTGCTCATGAACATCCTTGTGCACAGGCCTTTCTGTCCGTGTAGAAGTGTACATGCAGGTAAATTCTTAGCATTAGGATTTCTGCAGGAAAGGCCTGCATGTAACCTGACCCTGCCTATCATCCTTCCAAGAGGTTGTACCAGCTTGCATTCCAACCAACAGTGTGCGCGGGCCAAGTTCATGGTGGTAGTAAAATTGTTTGCCCATCTGATAGGAGAAACTACCTTGTTTTAACTTTTTACTTGTAATAGTATTTTTGTGTTCAGTCATCTTAACCGTTGGGATGCCATATGACTCCACTCTGCTTATCTTTGCATTTTGTCTTTATTTCAGTGAAATGTTTAAATTGCAAAGGCGTTTCAGATACTTTTGACCCGTATCTCGATATAACACTGGAGATCAAGGTAAGCTGGACCATCGTGACAGTGAAGCTTAAAAATCAGTAGACGTGACGTACTGCATGCATTGGTAGTTCACTTACAGTTAAGACCGGCTTGTTAGAGAACATGGATTAAAATTTTACTATGCCAAGACTCATGTGCAGGTGATCATTTGAACTTTGTAGTCAGCACCATAATCTTTTATTACCTTTCCATGTGTCACTACTTAATCTTAATAAAATCAGATTCTGTTAACTATATTAGCCAAATTAGATGGTGGTTATTACTTAGAAATTGTTTTGTTTCCTGCCTGTTCTAAACTCTTATATATTTTTTGTTATTCTTAAGCTTTATTTTTTCTGATTTCGAATGTAATATGAGTTTGTGGTCACATGAGAAATATTGCAGATAGATATCCATCCTGCAGAGTGAGCTGTTCCTGTCTCTGATACACCCTGTCCCAGAGTGTTACTCCGTCCACAGCAGGGTCACTGTCACTGAGCTCCGGCCACTTGCTGTTTTCCTTTCAATCTGCTTGGCGTTTGTGTGATGGTCCAGTGAGGGGGTACACAGTTACATGCCTGATTCCAAGCTGGTAGATACTTGGTTTGTTTCCATTTTAGACTATTTTAAAGAATGCTTCAGCCAGCAGCCTCTTTACAGATTTTTGTTCACTTTAATCTGATCTTTTTCTTTTTCTTTTTTTTTTTTTTTAATATATTTTATTGATTTTTTTACAGAGAGGAAGGGAGAGGGATAGAGAGTTAGAAACATCAATGAAAGAGAATCATGGATCAGCTGCCTCTTGCACACCCCCTACTGGGGATGTGCCCGCAACTAAGGTACATGCCCTTGACCGAAATCAAACTGGGACCTTTCAGTCCGAAGACAGATGCTCTATCCACTGAGCCAAACTGGTTTCGGCCTGATCATTTTTTTTTTTGAAGTTAATATATCATGATTTTATTGTCATATAATAAAACAAAATATGACGCTCTAGAACTGGATCACTTGACCCTTTCTCTTCTTATCTCCTCCCAGTTTAAAATGTTTACATCTCTTAATAGCCAGCATTCTCTTAGATCTGCAGTTAGGCTCAATGCATTCAAGCCTCAGCACAATCTTCTTTGAAGTTTTAGCCTTTTTTCGGAAAATAGGCTTAGTCTGCCCATCATAGCCACTTTGCTTCCTGTCCTAACGCCGCTTTCCCAGCGCATACAGAGAATCCTTGCCCTTCTTGTACTGTGTTACTGTGTGGGGTTGATGCTTGCCACACTTCTTACAGACAGTTCGGCGGGTTTTAGGAACGTTCACCATGTTTGCGAGCGCTGTCAGCAGTGAAAGCGGCCTGATCATTTTTAATGGGAGGGGAAATAACTTGATGTGTCCACTTATAAAAATGAATGCCATAGTAACAGAGCATTTCCTTTTTAAAAAAAATTGATTTGAGAAAGGAAGAGGGAGAGAGAGATAGCATGGGTTGGCTGCCTTCTGCACATCCCCTTCTGGGGAATGAGCCACCGCCCGGGCTTGTGCCCTGAGCAGGAGTCAGACCAGTGGCTTGTTGGTTCGCGGCAGTGAGGTAACGGGCGCTGCTTCTCTCCCCAGGCCGCTCAGAGTGTGAACAAGGCGCTGGAGCAGTTTGTGAAGCCGGAGCAGCTGGACGGCGAGAACTCGTACAAGTGCAGCAAGTACGACAGGGTGCTGCCCAGGGGGGGGTCCCCAGCTGCCGATGCCATCCGGGGAGACGCTGCGTCTGTCCCCCGGGACGGGGCGGTGAGCCCGCTGCCTGGGGCGCCGGGTGACAGCCCAGCAGCAGCATGCCATCCGCTCTGTGGGCAGGTGGGCCAGCGGGCAGCCATTCCTCCCGGGGCTTCTCTCTGCTTCTCCCAGGATTGCTGGTGGTGTCTGCTAGAAAGCCCTTAGTTTTGGTTAATTCTTCCCCTGAAGTCAAGAGAGCTTGTTTTCAGAAAGCCTTGGTTGTAAGATTAAGTGGAGTTTCATTTTAAAAAAATATATTTTATTGATTTTTTACAGAGAGCAAAGGAGAGGGATAGAGTTAGAAACATGGATGAGAGAGAAACATCGATCAGCTGCCTCCTGCACCCCCCACTGGGGATGTGCCCGCAACCAAGGTACTTATATGCCCTTGACCGGAATCGAACCTGGGACCCTTCAGTCCTCAGGCCAATGCTCTGTCCATTGAGCCACACCGGTTTTGGCAGTGGGGTTTCATCTTAGAGTCAGGTGGTACTTGTTCTTATCAAATACTCCTTCCGTGGGAAGAAGGCTCCCTTCTGTCCTAGCCACAGGGTTTCCTGGGTTAAACTCCACGGACATTTCTAATCAGTAGGTTTCTTCCTTTTGTATCTGAGGTGTCTTTGTTTTCACAGAATTATGCCAGCCTGGAAATCTGGTTGTTTTGTTTGTTTGGAGTTGACAGAAACTCATATTAACCTAATTTGAGAATATCAGTGACATGTGTGGCTATGCCTTCATAATTTCCCAGCTTCCTTTCCCTGTCATGCCGACTAAGCAGTTTCTCTGTATTTTAAAATTTTGCATTTTCACTATTGGTTGAAAGGGTTGTTTTTCTCATCTAGTACCCTTTGGAAACCTAATTTAAAATGTTTAGAGAAATAACAAGGGGAAGACTAAAATAGAAGAAACATACTTAATCTTCTTAATTATTTGTTTCTGCTTATTTCAAGATGTAAAAAGATGGTTCCAGCTTCAAAGAGATTCACCATACACAGATCCTCCAATGTTCTCACACTTTCTCTGAAACGCTTTGCAAATTTTACCGGTGGAAAAATTGCTAAGGTTTGTAGACATTAGTAACCTTTATGCTGAGCCTTTCAAGGCTCAGTGTCATTAGCTGTTACGGGTTATAAACAATCTAACTGAACAGTTTTGTTACCTGATTTTCTAAATTCTTCCAGCATTGGTGTTAGAAGAAAATGTCAAAGCATTGAGCCAGTTGTGTATCTTGTGTGTTTATGAGTGTGTGTGTTTTTCTATCTCCTGTAGCTGGTTAGACTTTCTGATAATAAAATCGGTAATTTATCTGAATTTGCACTCCATAGTCAGTGAGGTAGAGAGAGTGTGTCATTTGAAATCCTGCTCCATCTGGCCACTCTTCCACTTTGGTTTTCTTGGTTGGTTGTTTTCTGATTGGTAATACATTGATTTTCCCATTTCCTTTCCACGTTCTGAAGATTGAAAGTGGTCAAAAAGTCCATGACATGCAAAAGATATAATCCATTCCTGAGTTATTAAAAAATAAAAACAAGTGATGATGAAAGCCCAGAATTATCATTCTATAACATCTCTTTGGATTAATTTGAAGAATTAATATGGATCCTTAATTGTTCAAAGAAAATAAAGAATATAAAGGGATTTCATTAGATACACCTAGATTCAAATATGTTCCAGGTTAACCAAGTCTTTTGAAATGGGGTTCAGTGGATTAGGTTTCTGCTAGAATATCACAGGGCGTAGTGTCTGCAGGTACTCTGCCCTACACCGCCCTCCGTACCCCATACCCAAGCATATGGGATGATCTGTGCTTTCAGAAATATGTTCCTTTTCCTCCTTCCATTTCTGTTTAGGATGTAAAATATCCTGAATATCTTGATATTCGACCATACATGTCTCAACCAAATGGAGAACCGATTATTTATGTTTTGTATGCAGTACTGGTACACACTGGTTTTAACTGCCACGCCGGCCATTACTTCTGCTACATAAAGGTGAGCTGTGTGGATTTGTTAATGTCTATTTACAGTACACTGTAAGGGGGCACTGGTGTTCTTGGGGGGAAGGTGGGACTTTACAGTTAAAATGTGCGGTTACATTTTTTTTTACATTTCTCTAGCTCAGTGTTCCCTGATTCTCTAATCATATCGGCTCTCTCTTTTACTGGCTCCCTTGCAGGCGAGCAATGGTCTTTGGTATCAGATGAACGACTCCATCGTATCTACCAGTGATATCAGATCGGTACTCAGTCAACAAGCGTATGTTCTCTTTTATATCAGGTATTGTCAAGAGAACAGATTTTCAAGTTTTCTGTTATTTTATTTCTCTTCATCTCATCAACATATTTAAATTCACAGTGTGGACCCTTATTGGGTTGTTTTTAAAACTGCAGCTTGCTGCTTGGGAGAGTACGGAATGTCACTTTTGCAGATGGGTCCTGAGTGTGCTTTAGCGTCCAGCTGTTTGGCAGGTTAACCACAAACACGTTCAGAGGAAGGGAAGGCGTTGGCTGAGGAGAGCAGGCTTTGGCTCAGAGGAGGGGAAAGGGGATCAGAGCACTGAGTGTGGTCCTCTCTCAGCTGCTGAGCTCAGGCAGGCTGCCACCTTCCTGGAGCAGCCTGGGCAGCGATATCACCTCTGCTCATTTCTCTCCTGCTCTTGCTGAAGACTGATTGGCTCATTCCATTGCTGGAAGGGCGTGGCCTTGAGAAACTCAGGTGTGCTTCAAGGTATTCATTTATGACAGCTGATCAATTGTAGAATGATCAGATAAATTACAGCAAATCCATATGTTGGAATATTATGCAGTTGTTAAAAGTTATTTGTATGAAGCCTTTTTTAGTGACATGAGAATGTGCTCAATAAATAATGGCGGAAAAAGCAGTTTGGAATTTTATACTGCTGACAAGCCAGTCTAGGCTAAAGTGTAGAGCAGCATCACCAACCTTTCGGACCTAAAGGGCCACCTCCGGTTGGCGACTGCTGGTGTAGAGGAGACTCGGATCTGAATAGCAGATTCCTCTAAGGGTGTGCAGCATGGTACAACCAGGAGGCCACGTTCAATTCACATGCCCTGGTTGAGGGCTCAATACCCAGTAAGAGGCGTGCAGGAGGCAGCCGATCAATGATTCTCATATTGATGTTTCTACCTCCCTCCCTCTTCCTTCCTCTCTGAAATCAATTAAAAAAAAATTTTTAAAGTACCATTCACCCAGTTACCCTGGTTATCTCCCAGTCTGAGCACCTGACATTGACCTTGACCTAAAAGCCCGAGTGCATCTCTGTTCGCTGCAGCAGGTTAATCTCTTACCTGGGAGTCATAAATGAGCCTCTTCTAAGGAGATGTCCTGTGTAACCCTAAGCATTGTCACTCTCCGTCCCCAGGTCCCATGATGTGAAAAATGGAGGTGAACTCACTCATTCCGCCCACAGCCCCGGCCAGTCCTCTCCCCGACCCATAACCAGTCAGCGCATCGTCAATAACAAACAGGCCGTGTCAGGGTTCATCGGACCGCAGCTTCCTTCCCACACGATAAAGGTAACTCCACTCCATAGGTAGAATGTCATCTTTATGTTAATTTTAAAATGTATCATTCAAACCTTCAGGCTAGCATGGCAGTAGTTGCCATGGCCTCATATGCAAAGTAATTTCTTGTTAAAATAGTATATTCAAGCCATCTGTCTATATAAAAGGCTAAGTGACTGCATCTGTCCAACATCTGACCAACTGGCTGGTACATATTACACACACTGGCAATTTAAAAATAAACATTGACTCCCGCATGGGTGATACATGTAAAGCTCTCCCTGGTGCCAATTGCACACGTGTGTTTTGATCTGTCATTGTAGATGGTGAATTTAGTTGTTTTTGTTGGTGAATTTAGTAGTTTTTGTTGGCATCAAACATGAACCACTTTATGATTTATTCACCAACCAGCCGGTACATATGATGCGCACTGACAATCCTATATAATAAAAGCCTAATATGTAAATTGTCCCCTCAGACGGTTGTTCAACTGGGAGTTCGACCGCTTGCTATGATGTGTGCTGACCACCAAGGGGCGGCACAGAACATGCAGGCATTGGCGACATGCTGTGACCTCTCTCGCTGGCTATCTGGGGGCGGGGACTGATGGGGACGGAGGTGTGGGGTGTCTGCAGAGCTCACTCTTACTCCCCCTACTACCTTCCTCCGGGACACCAGGGCTTGCATGCCGGGAAAGCCCCCACACTCAGATGCCCGGTGCTCATGAGGAGCCCGCCCCATACCAGCACAGCTCCCAGGACCACAGGGGCCGGTCGGGCTCCCCATGGGTTCGCACAGGAGCTGGTCTACAAGGCCAGCCAGGAGAGAGCACGCTGCCTGCCCGGCTTCTGTGTGGCACTGCTGGGTGGACCAGAGGCCCACGCTGCGCCCAGGCCCATGGCATCTGGCTGTGCTCACTGTATCTCCGTGTGGGGGCCCAGGTGCCCAGAGCCCAGAGATCAGCTGGGACCTGCCCTTCCATGCCAGACGCTCACACTTCGATCACTGGCTAGGCTTAGGGACTGCACCCATGTACAAATTTCATGCACTGGGCCTCTAGTTTAAAAATGTTGACTGGCCCATGCACGATACATGTAAAGTTCTCGCTGGTGCCAATCGCACGTGTGTTTTTAATTTTATAATACTATATTATATATACTACTTTGAAATGAAATTTTTTGCAGTAACTTAATTACTGCATGAATCTCCTAATGAATTTCCTTTCAATGTATGTGAATCTGTGCACTGGGCCACTAGTTTATTATAAAATATTTCAAGTGCACAGCACATCTCAGAGTATGGATGTAATGGTCAAAAAGCAGATCCTGGGTATAAGTGTATTTAAATGCTAGAGAGTTTAGCTCTTGTGCTGGACTACCATTCACTTGATGAAATATTTGGGGACTCTTCATTAATGCTGGACTGTAGGAAAATGGCCCCGAACTGACAGAACACTTTCATTATGTCTGCTCAGCCCTTTCACGAGTGTGGTGCTCTCTGTGTCCAGCTGGGTGTGGCCACACTTGCAGGTGGCCTCTTGGGAGAACTGGTGACAGGCCTGGGTCTTGAGACGCTTTGTGGAGCAGAGGCCCACCTTTTGGTAGACTTCCGTATGAGGTCGTGGACGGCTTGTCCACGTTGAAACAATCCCTGTCCTCTGTGCTGTAGTGTTTTCACCGCCATTCAGTTCGAGTTCATTTGGTTTAGAATCAGCAGACTGTCCAGTTGTGTGCTGTTCCTTGTGGACGTGGCAGTGTTAGGATTATAGCAGGAGTTATACATCTAAGGCCTCGGAGCTGGGCAGGCAGCGGGCTCCTGGATTGGAATCTTCGTAAAGGTGGCATCAGGACATTGGCCAGCTGGAGAGCATAGGCCCTAGACTGAGTGGTGGCTGCTACTCCCAGCCCCACCCCATGGAACGTTTCAGTGTTCAGATAGGACTGATTCAGATATTTAGGAAAACGCTGTGAAGGCCAAACAGAATTCATCTGAGTCAGATTTCATCCATGACTTCCAGCTTGCAGCCTCCGGAGTGGAGCAGCAGTAGTTGGAGGCTGAGATTAGAGAGATTGTTGGGGAGGGGATGGCCTAGCCAGTGGTGCCTGAAGGCACTCTTCTCTGTCGGCCCACGTGACCAGCTCCCTACTACAGTGGCCAATGTCAACTCCAGCTGGCTGGCACTTCCTTCTGCTGCACAGCTCTGGGCCCCCAAGAAAACCAAGGAGAACATATGAGACCACTCAAAGGGGCTGTGCACTTCTGCCCCATTGGAGCAGAAAGAACATGGTCTGGGCCGTGTTTTCTGGCAAAAATAGTTGTCACTGTTTGTGGCTTAATTATCAGAAAACGATGACCTTTGAAGGTTCACGCAGCAGGAGTGGGCGAGGAGAGGAGGCGTTGCTAGGTGTGTGAAGCCTGTGGTTCATAAAGAAGAAGACCTCCTGGGAGGGTCTGTAGCCAGAATGGGATCTGCCTGTGCCTGGAGTGCTCACCGGGCTGTGGTCTTCTCGCTTCCAGAACCCTCCTCACTTGAACGGGACCGGACCCTTGAAAGAAATGCCCAGCAGCTCCATGTCGAGTCCCACTGGGAACTCCACCGTCAGCAGGGCTGGTGCTGCTAACGCTCCCGCTTCTGTTCAGAACTGGTCAGTTGCCAGGGCCTCCGTTGCCCCGGAGCATCCCAAGAAACAAAAAATCACCATCAGTATTCACAACAAGCTCCCTGTCCGCCCAGGTCAGTCTCAGCCCAACCTTCACAACAATTCTTTGGAGAACCCTACCAAGCCCGTCCCCTCTTCTACCATTACCACTTCTTCTGCAATACAGTCTACCTCGAGTGCACCCACCACGTCACTTCCCAGTAAGGTCCCAAAGCAGACGGCCCCGAGCGAGTCCTGCTCCAAGCCCCTGGTGAACGGCAAGTCCAAGCTCAGCGCCAGCATCCTGGTCCCCTACGGCGCCGAGTCGTCGGAAGAGTCCGACGAGGAGGCCAAGGGCCTCGGCAGGGAGAACGGGCTCGGCCCCGCCAAGAGCGCGGCCTCTCGTGCTCTGGACGCTGAGGACGCCGAGGCCTCCCCGCCCCAGCTCCCCGAGCCTGTGACTGTCAGTGCGGACGCCAGCGCGGACAGCGGCCCCAGGGAAAACGGCCTGTCCGCGGGCAGCGCCAGCTGCCCAGTCCAGCCTGCCCTGCACTCGGAAAGCCCCTTCGAGAAGGCCAGCGGCCTCCCTGGCCAGGTGAGGGGCTGGAGCGGGCGGGTCCCGGCTGGACCTCAGGCCGTGGGAGCCGCGACCAGAGTTGGAGCAGCTGTGTGTGTTTTTTTGCAGTTGATGCCCGCTCCTTTGCCGCCTCTTCTGGAAGACACAATCTTAGAGACTTTCAAATTCGGCCACACAGGGAAAGGCCCGGCAGAGGAGACCAGGTAACGATGGCTTAGAGGAAACCCCAGGTGCCCTGGGCGTGTCACTGGCTTACCTCATCCCACCAGTGACTTGAATGGTCTGTAAGCATTTGTTCACTTGCTTTGGTAAAAAGTAAAGAAAAAAGGTGTCAGCTGGTGGTCCCAGAAAGCTTGGTGTCCCCCAGCTAGCATGCCTCCACCCAGGCTGCCAGCAGCACCTGCTGCACTGGCGCTGGCCCTGCCTCGCCTCCTCCCAGGATTGGCCGTACTTCAGCCGTCAGATGGCAAACCTGGGTCTTGCCCCCTCCCGAATCCTGAAACTAAATTTATGGATAAGATATTCCCGCTCCCACATGATCATTTTAAAAACCAGTATAGCGACCTAAGAATAACGAGAATAAAAGGGAAGGAATGTGTGGACAGCCAGGCGAGCTGCACTCCGAGCCGCAGCGGTGCAGTGGGGAGGTGTGCTGCAGTGTGACAGCTGACAGCGCGGCCTCATGGCAGGACTCGCACCGCACGAGAGCCGCCGTCCGAGAATCGCAGCCTCCTGGCGGGCGGCGCAGTGGTGGTCAGGCCGTCTCTAGCCATGCTCCTTGAGAGCTGCCAGTCATGAGGCACTGCCTGCCTCTCCCTAGTGCTAGCGGGCACCCCGTCATTGTGACAACCCAGAAACGCACCCCACATTTCAGGATGGCCCTGGCAGTGCCGCCTCACTGGCCACTGCAGGGAAGGCTGGCAGAGGACGCCCGGTCTGCCTGGAAGATGGAGCGGTGTGAACACTTGGCCACTGGCCTACAGATTTCCCTGCGGTCACTCTCCTAGTCTGGCTTAGTTTGTCCTCACACTGATGTGCATGGGAATTACAAAGCTAGCTGTGGAAACCAACCTATGCTTGTAGCTAGCTGTGTAAACCAAGCCATGCTTGTAGCTAGCTGTGTAAACCAAGCCATGCATGTAGCTAGCTATGTAAACCAACCCATGCATGTAGCTAGCTGTGTAAATCAAGCCATGCATGTAGCTAGCTGTGGAAACCAAGCCATGCATGCAGCTAGCTGTGTAAACCAACCCATGCATGTAGCTAGCTGTGTAAACCAAGCAGTGCATGTAGTGTAACTGGGTGTGTGTGCCACGTGCTGACTTGAGAATCTCACTGCCACGCTCTAGAAAACGTGTGTCGTGACCTCACATGTATACCCTCTCCCAGATACCTTCCTGCAAAAAGGGGGCCCCTGTAGGGTGCTGATAGTGTCTGGCAGCTGTCACTAACCTCACACACACCGGAAGCTCCCGGCGATCAAGGGCAGAGTGTTTACCGGAGCCCCCGTGACCCTCACAGATTCGAGGCAGAAGGGACCCGAGGAACAGTCCGAGCTCCCAGTCATCTGATCTGACTGCTCTGCCCAGTTGTTAGAAGGAGTCTCCCTGGAAACAGAAGCAGCCTAGACCCTCAGAATTATTGCTAAAAAATGGATAGGAGATAGGTTTGACATAGAATTTTATATTTTTACTTAATGAGGGAAAGACAATTTGACGTTTCAAAAAAATGGTAAGTTCATTCACTATTGTGTTTCAGTGAGATATATTAAAGGCATAAAATGCCTAGTAAATAAATGTGTGGAAGCGTTTGTCCCTGTGAGCCAATGACAAGAACCCATAAAGCATGACAAGAACCCATGGCGAATGACTAATGCGTTTATTTGTCTTGTTGGGGCTGCAGTGCGCCTGGAGCAGACGGAAGCCAGACCGAGCGCCCTGAGGCAGGACCGGAGCCTGGCAGCCCCACGCCTGACTCCCGGGAGGAGCTGGAGCCGGCCCCGGGGCCGAGCGGCAGATCGCAGACGGCCTCGCCGCTCCCGGACCCCAGCACCACGGCCACCGAAGAGCAGGCCTCTGGAAGCGGCTCGGCGAAGCCGGAGGAGCCTGTGTCCGGAGCCCCCCCGCTCTGCAGCGCCGGCAAGAGCAGCGCTGGGGACGACCACCCTTCTCAGCCGCGCGGCCCCGGGGACTCCCCCGAGGACGAGAGCCGAGCGGCCCAGGACACGGCAGGGGCGGCAGGGGCGCTCCCGGACAGCCCCCGGGGCTCGGCCGCAGCGGAAGCCGCCGGGAGGTCGAGCCCGAGTCCCCCGGCACCTCCCGAGGGTGCCGGTGAGCAGGAGCCCCCGGTTCCCGGCAGCCGGGACCAGGGCCCCGCTGCGGAGGCCGCTCCTCAGGTCCCAGACGTTCCTCAGGCCTCCGGGGCGCCTGCAGAGGAGCCCTCCTGCCAGGGGGACAGAGTCGCCACGGAAAACCATTCGGAGGGGCTGGGGGCTCCCCAGCAGAGCCCCGCGGAGCCGGGCGACGAGCGCCAGGCGGGGCAGGCGGGCCCGGCCCGGTCCCCGGCGAAGGAGAAGATGGGCAGCCTCCGGAAGGTGGACCGAGGACATTACCGCACCCGGCGGGACCGCTCCTCCAGCGGGGAGCACGTGCGGGACAGCCGGAGCCAGACGGAGGACCGCCACCGCCGGCGGCGCTCCTACACGCGGGAGCGCGCCCCGCAGGGCCGGCCCCGGCCGGAGCGCTGCAGCGGCGGCCCGCACCACGCCTGCGAGCACCGCGGCCTGGCCCGCCACCGCCACCGCCACGCCCGCAGGGGCGGCTCCCACCAGGCCTGGCGGTCCCACCACTCGGAGAGCGAGCACGCCTGGGGCCGGGACAAGTACCACCCGGACCGGGCGCGGTGGGACCGGTGCCGGTACTACCACGACAGGTACGCGCCGTACCCGGCCAGGGAGGCGTGGGAGTGGAGGCCCCTGCACGGCGACCGGGACTATGGCCGAGACCACGACCGCGTGGGCCAGTACGGCGGCCGGCCGCACAAGGACTACAGAGGCAGGAAGGGCCACGAGCTGGCTGCCAGCGAGAGGGACCGGCACCACCCCGGCGGCCCCCCGGGGCCCCCCCACGCCCCGCCGCCCCGCCCCGAGAAGCACGCCGACAAGACCGCACTCCCCGACGGCAGCAGCGGCCGCCTCGCCGACCGCTCTCACGGCCACGGAAATGCGAAGCCCCACAAACGGAGGTGCGGCAGCGGGGAGCATAGCGGCCCCCCCACAGAGGGGAAAGCCCGGAGGAGCACGCAGCGGGGCCCTTCGGAGGAGCCCAAAGCGAAGAAGCACAAAAAGTCAAAGAAGAAAAAGAAATCCAAAGACAAGCACCGGGAGCGCGACTCCAGGTGAGGGCGCGGCCTCCCCGCTGTTGGCCGAGGGCAGGCGGTGGGCGTGGTGGCTGGTTTGTATTTCTTAGCTCTGGATTTGAGAGTTCACTGTTTTTACAGATTTCTAAAGTTTAGCTCTGCTTTTAAGCTGTGTCTTCCTTCACAGTGTCGCAAATGCCTTAAACCTCGTTGTCCAGTGTCCCGCTGTGCGGATGCTCACGCCTTAGGAGGCGGCGTGTGGTGCTCTGTATGGGAGGCTGGGGGCTCTGCCTTCGCCGCCGGTGCCAGCACCCTTCATGCCGGATTATCACTGTCATGTCTGTTCACACTTCCTTCTGCCTCCTGCTGCCAGGCGACTGAGCGGGAGCCACGGGGGCGCTGACACTTCCTGCCCTGAGTGGGAGCTGAGGCGCGTCTTGGTTGTCTTTGTCTTTGTTTCTGTCCGTTTCTCAATTTGAAATTGAACTGGGACATGTGTTTGTATTTGGAAAAGCTGAACTGGCCAGTGAGCCTCCTGAAAATGACTTATCCATGATGACACGAGTGAGCACAAACAGAATTGCTCATGTCTGATAGGTCAGCAGCTTCCTCTGGTCCCACAAAGACCCATCCTACACAGTATACCTTTTTAAAAATATATATATTTTATTGATATTTTACAGAGAGGAAGGGAGAGAGATAGAAAGCCAGAAACGTCGATGAGAGAGAAACATCAACCAGCTGCCTCTTGCACACCCCCTACTGTGCCCGCAACCAAGGTACATGCCCTTGACCGGAATCGAACCTGGGACCTTTCAGTCCGCAGACCGACGCTCTACCACTGAGCCACACCGGCTTCGGCCACAGTGTACCTTTGACATCCTTAAAATTGTAACCTTGGGGAAGAATACCAGGAGCCCTGGTAAATAGTGGTTCCTGGGGAAAGCGGCTCGCTGGCACCCCCGTGTGGCCGACACCTGCAGGAGGGTTCTCCCTCAGCCTCCAGGCTCAGAAGCAGCTCGGTGGGTCCTGCCTCTAGGATTTTGGCCGAACCCTTTAGGGCCTGAGCAAAGCTAAGGCAGCGGTGGGATGGGGTTCAGTGGGTTTATTTATGGCGCTGGACTTTAAAAAATGGTTACGATACATTTTAAATTAGAAACAAATCTTACCTGTGTTTGCATCCTGAGTGTCCACATTGTGGGGTAAGAGCCAAGGACCGTTCTCTGTGAGTGTCGCTGTGGTGGTGGTTGAGTTCTGGCTTATTCTCCCGCAGGCATCAGCAGGACTCGGACCTCTCGGCAGCATGCTCCGATGCTGACCTCCACAGACACAGGAAAAAGAAGAAGAAAAAGAAGAGACACTCAAGGAAATCAGAGGACTGTGGGCGAGACTCAGGGCTGCACTTAGCGAAGGCCGCCAGCTCCGAGGCTCTTGACCGTTTCCGGAGAGCCGACGGCAGTCCCCGCCTCACCGACGGCCTGCCTCTGGAAGGCGTCGGACCTTTCCGTGAGAAAACAAAACGCTTAAGGATGGAGAGCAGGGATGACAGGTGTCATCTGTCCGAGTGTGGCCAGGGTAAGGCGAGATACTTGGACTTAATGTAGAAACCGGTCCTTTGAGAAAAGGGGATTGGCACCTGGGAGGAAAAGCCAGTGGCATGAGGGCACGCTTCTGCAGAAGCCCCTCTCACCCGCTCCTCCACCCCTACCCCCACCCCCGAGAATGCGGCCTGGAGCATGGCCCCTTAGCATTTGGGGAGCCCCAGCTCCATGGACCAGGCCTAACAGAACCTGACACACACCTGGGACTTAGGGCTCCAGGCACCGAGCATGTTCCTCGGGAAGGGCTGGGACTTTGCTTTCAGACCATCTTTATCTCCTTCCTCCGGACTCCTCAGACCTCTGCGTTCTGAGGGTAACAGAGGAGGGTGGTGACGTGGCTCACAGGGACGTCAGCTGTCGGCCTGTCGTGCGGGCTCTGGCTCCTGGGAGGGCATCTTGTCGGCTCTGCCCAGCTCTGCCCTATGATTGTGAGGTCCTTTCTATCATCCCCTTCCTCTCCCCCTCCCAATCTGTGCGGTGACCTTTGCCCTTGGCGAGCAGCATGGTGTCTACAAGTCACGATGTGGCAGCGCCCCGGGGCAGGGCCAGCAGTTAGAATGGCTTCAGCCTCTCGGGGTTGGAGAACCCAAAGGAAATATCATTTCCCGAGGGAAGGGTCTGAGGGGATGTCGGGGTCGGGTTGCAGTGGGGCACAACTGCTTTTATGGCCTTCGGTGGACAAAGTGTGCGGACCCGCCCCAGACCAGGGGTATTCTGTGCCTTTGTCACCTGGCTGCCCAGAAGCCTGTGGTTCTTGAGTGTCCTGGCCTTGCCCGAGGTGTCCTGGGGCCGTCAGCCTGTGACTGCTGACTGGGAGGGCACCTGCTCCTCGGGAGGGGCTGGGGGAGTACGGTGGGGCTGGCAGCCCGCAGCAGCAAGAAGTGGTGCTAACGTGGGTTTACTGTCTTAAGGAATGAGTGCATGTGTTCTTAGATTGGTTTCCCACGAACTGTCAGTATCTCTGCGCAGTGAGGGGCTGTGTGCACAGGTCCAGGCAGCTGCTGTTTCCTGATCCTCCCAGAGGGCGGGGAGCCGAGGCCCACCTCACTGTGGCAGCCCTGCTCTGGCTCCAGGGCTGCAGTCAGGTCCTGCTCCCCCTCCAGCACCTCCACTCCGAGCAGCCAGGCACCTGCCACCTGTCCCCTCCGGCAGGGCCAGTCCCCTGGCCTTTGAGACAAGCATCCCTGTCAGCTATTGATTGAGACACGTGTCCTCCGACCTGGTGCCTTGTCCGCTGACCTGTCCTTCACACTCGCCCTCTGGCTCATTAACCTGCTGTCTCTGGTCTAAGGCCTGCTCCTCACAGGACACGCTGATGGGCCATGTCCACAGGGGATGCATGGCTTTCCCAGCTTCTCCCCGCAACTGATGTCTCCCCTCACCCCCGGGAGAAGGGCCCCCACACACACCTGTGCTTCCTGGTTAGCGCGATTCTGGCAGGAACGCGAGCCTGCCCGCCCTGGTTCTGAGCGGCCCCTGGCTGTGCCAGCACAGGACCAGACGGGCACCTGTGAGACCATTAAACTGTCTCTTCACCTTTGCTTGTGTTCCAGGTGACTGAAAGCTTGGCCTCAAACACTGACTTCACTAGTTACGGTAAGCTGTTGCGTGTCTGTCTCCCATGACTGGCAGAGGCTGTGGGACATGGAGTTGGGGACACGGGGCGTGGGGGCAGGTGCGGGAGGCTCCCCAGCAAGGGCAGCTGACTGCCCTGTCCTCCAGGCCGGCGCTGTGCTCAACACCCCGCCTTGTCAGCATCCTGGCCCGGGGACACACCACCCCCTTCCTCGCCTCCTTGTAGAAAATGAGGGTATTGAAAGCATCAGAACAAGAGGGAATCCCTCGGAGATGGGAAATCCAGTCTCCCCCACTCAGACCGCCTGGATGCCCGAGGGGTCCCTGGAACCTCCCCTCCACACACACCTGGGACAGCAGGCCTGCTCCTCCTCACGTGACAGGCTGGCAGACCATGTCCACAGGGTGGTGCGTGGCTCTCAGGCTTCTCCCCATTTTCAACAGAAGGGTTTGCTTGGTTTGAATGAGGCCTGGTGTTTAGAGCAGATCCAAACCTGGTCTGTGCCGTGCAGCTGGTGTGGGCGACCTGCCCTTGCTACGGGGAGGGGGAGAGGCAGCCATTTTGCCCAAATGTCTTTCTGCTCGGCAAGAGGGATACAAATGTCAGTGATGTGTCCACAGAAGGCCAACTGGCAGTCAGTCACCGTGACTCACCAGTGTGTCCTCGGGGAGCCCTGAGCCCGGTTAGGGACTTCAGGTGGAGCTGGATGGCCAGTCTGGGTTCGGTGAGCACAGTCCATGTCCAGCAGAGGGCGCCCTCTGGCTGCACTGCCTGCTGGCTCGGCCCTGGGCACCATGGTCTGGTGGGTCTGTCTGGAACCGCCCAGTCCCTTTGAGAGCAGGCAGTGCTGCGGGAGAGCTTCCCTGAGCCCGGCTGCTGCGGGTCCGCGGAGAGGCCTGGTGGGACGCAGAGGCCTGCTGGCCCGAGACCCTTTGCTCCAACTTCCTGCCTCTTGTCTTTCAGATTCAACATGTTCAACAGAAGCCATCCCCAACCCAGCTTAAATTATAAACATAGAAATAACTCTGTTCCAATCTGCGTGGTGCTTCTTTAGTAAATACTGTACAGATTTTACCATGGAGGACTTTTTTTTAGTTTTTACCTTTTCTTAATTACCCTTATTCCAAATGGACGAACACTTTCTACAACTGCTGAGCATTGTAAAATACGTGTATATAAATCACATTAAAGTGACGCCCTGGACTAAAACATCTCAATGCTGCTTAATCACAGACTCAGGTTGATCTCTCGTATTCCACGTAATGTTCCTCCAAGTCAGACCTCCGCACGAGGCCAGCCGGGACCTGGGACCGTCAAGTACACACAGCTGACAGCGCGTATTTAATTTAAGGCTAGTGACCGCTCACGGCTCTCCGCTGACCGAGAGCAGTGTTCTCTGTAATGTCTGAGACTAGAAACGAACGTGCTTCATGTTTCCGTTTATTCAGGATTGGAAGGCGTATTTACAGACAAGTTCTGTTTTTGAACTTTGTGGAACTATTCCAATCAACTACCAGTTATGATGAGTATTTACATTATGAATGTATAATCCAGACATTATTTGTAAAGCCTACAGTACGTTTTTTATTACATAACACTTTTTATACAGTTTCTCTTGTCTTGACCTTAATATTGGAGTCTGAGTTATCAGCTTGGTCCCTGAAAAGTTTCTAGTTACAGACAAAATCATACTGTGATTTTATTTTTAATATGGATATGCTATCAAACTGTGATACACTTATAATTCACTGGTCCTGCATCAGGAGACGGAGTGGGGACAACTGTATTTAATACAGTTCGTATCTGAATAATCTGTATGGTTTATACAGTTTGTGTTGTTCAGAGATGTCTAAAGTTTGATCTTTGTTTTTTTAAAGATTGAAAAGCACTTGCCCCACTGTAAATATACAGCATGTAAATTTATATAGTATATAAATGGCAGCAAATCAAACACTTGGTGGCATCTTTTTTACTGCTGTTTGCCCCGTTTGCTTACGGACACGTCGAATGACTTCTTCCTGTTGCCTTCACTTGGTTAAAACTGCCAAAGCTGGGGGGTGGGGGGCAGATGGGGGGAGGGGTGGGGAGGGAGCTGGCTCCAGCAATCTGCTTTAAAGAACCAGTTCGGAGGCAGTCTCGTCGTAACAATGATTTCCTTTTATTCGGTGAACATAGTATTTGGCAGCGACACACCCTCCGGTTTCACTATTTACAACAAAATACTGATGTAGGCTATTTCTTCATGCAAACTGTGGGAGTATATACATTGAATAAACACTCCAGGAATCAACATGTATGTACATTATTCACATATTAACGATATGTACTGTAAATAGAATGTCTTCTAAGAAAACATCAGTGTGGCTTCTGACCTACGGTAATTTCGCAAAGCGCGTCTATGTGGGTCTGCACCTTTACCTGGAAGCAGCTTCTGTTTGGACGCAGTTTGGTACCACGTCAAACTGCTCAAACTGCCTGTGACCCTGAGGACGCCTGCTTGTCTGGGTCTCCAACAGAGAAAAGGCCGCCCCCGCCCTCCGCACCCTCGCCGCTGCCCTGGGTCTCGGGAGCGTGTCTTTGGCCAAAGCGGGTAATAACTCAGCACTGAGCACAGGGCGGCCGGAGGGGGATGAGCACACTGGCCCGGGCACCGGCCCGCCCGAGGGCGCAGTGGTGGCGGCTACGTGCCTGCCAGGCTAATACTGTCACAGCTCGCCCCGGAGCGGGGGCTTCCCGCAGCGTGAGGCGAGCACAGCTCCAGCACATGGCTGTCTGACCGAGGCCTGCACAGGCGGCCGAGACACGTCCCACCCCGACAGCCCTGCTCTCCAGGGTCCTACCTGGTCCCAGGACAAAGTCCACGCGTGGGTACCGATGCGGCGGGCAGTCCTGGGCAGGGGCCAGCCCTCGGGGCGGCGCTGTCGCTCTGTGTTGCACACGCAGTAGCCGGGCGATTTGAGGATGAAGACGTGCCTTTCTCCAAAACTAAAGCTTTGAGTTTGAGGTATGAGCACAATGCAGAGCCGAAGAGCTTGGAACAAGCCAGAAAGCCCGTCTGATGTCGGGGGGCCGTGGGCTCAGCCCTTTCAGTCGTGTGACTTAAAGCTACGTCAAGGTGAGCAGCTTGAGGCTCGGCCCACGGCCACCCAGCCTCAAGGCCACGCTCAGGAGGCTCCTCACGTGGTGCAGAGGCCGGTCTGACTGAGCCGAGGACCGGGCTCTCCCAGGAGGAAGGACGGGCCGGGAAGCACGGCCCTCTGCACGGCCATCCTGGCGATGGGCTAAAGCCCCCGGAGAAGAAAGCATGTGTCCCCGAGGACCAGCACGGTGCCGGCCTGCCCCGTGCACCAGGGTCTGGTCTGGGACGTGCTGGGGCCCAGCCACCGCATCCTGACGTGACCGGGCCACCCGGTCCTGGGTCCGAGAGGTCCACGCAGCGAACACCGAGCCACACCGATGACGGGAGCCCCTGGTGCCACGCTGCCCCACAGCGCGCTCCACGTGACGGACAGGCCAGCTCCGACACGTGCAGTGACGTGTTCCCAGTCCCTCTCACACCGTCGCTTCCTACTGAGCAGCCTGGTCCACCGGCAGGTCAGTGACACCAGCTCCTTTCTGCACCGAGGATCTGAGTGAAGACGGCACAGCTGAACCAGCCACGTGGAACCAGATGGAACTGCCGCTTGAGGGATCGGTCCCACACAGAGTCTGTGCTGGGCTCGGCAGTTATGGGACAAAAGCCTCCCATCGTAAGTGTTGCTGATGGGCCTTTCGAGAGTCTCTGGGGGCCTCCGAGCCAGGCTGAGGTCCCCGGGGCGTCGGACCCTGTCCCAGGAGGGATGGGGCGCCCAGCGCAGTGCTGCCCCGGCTGCTGCACATACAGCGTCTGCGTCACCTCCTGTCCGTGCACCGGATATGCTTGTGGCGGGTGTTACGTTTATAGCTGCCGTTCTAAAAATAGTACATTAGTATCTTTCATAATTTCAGAATATAAAAAGGCATATAAAAGCTATAGTCCTATGTATCTGAGAGAAAAATCTGAATAAAAAAGTGGTAGCTTTTCTTTCCTGTTTTGATATAAAACAGAAGCTTCTAGAACAGTGAACACCACGCATGAGCACGTGTGGTGACAGATAGGAGCGAGGTTCCTTGGCAGACATGGCGCGCAAGTCTGCGGCTCGGCTCCCCGTGCCGCTGCCACGGGGAACCGCGAGGAGGGGGTGGGCTTGGCGGGGGGCGTCGTGTCGCTCGGCAGACGCGGCCCATGAAGCTTCGGAGGCCCTCGGGCTGCCTGCCCGGCCCCTCGGCGGTGCGTCTGGGTTCTCCTTTTACCTGTTCAGGCGGGGAGCTACTTCTTATTGGCAATCCTCCTCTTGCGCGTGGCCAGCATGTCGTAGAACGGGTCCCTGCTGATGCTCGCCCTGGGGAGACGGACACGGCTGTCAGCGCCCCTCAGCCGCGGCTCCCAACCAGAGGGCCCGAAGCAGAACTGGGCACGGGCACACACGGGCACACACAGGCGCACACACGGGCACATGCTCCCCCACTCCCACTTGACTGTGTGCTGGAGCCTGTGCTGTCAGCCCCAACGTCTGTGCCTCCAACTCATCATACAAGGCCTGGTGTCGGAGGCCTCGGTCTCAGGAGAGGACCATTTAGGCCACTTGCCTGTTTTCTCCTCCTGGCTTTACATTCCCGCTCTTACGAGAGTATTCATCTCACCTGTACAGAGTGAACCCTCCAAACCCCAGGCTCCCCCATCGCCCCAATAAAAGCAGCCCCCAGGCCTGGGACACTATCCCGCCCACTGCCCCGCCGGCTCGCAGGGTGGTCCCGTAAGCGGTCACTCCAGGTCCTGTAGGCGATGAATCTGCACCTTTTATACGCTTTCTGGTGGCTCCTGAGGGCGCACTGCGATCCTAAGAATCGAGGCTTTTAGCAAGGACCTCGCTGACAGAGCCGAGCCGGCCCGGCCTCACCTGATGGACTTCATCCACTCCTCCTTCTCCTCCGGGCTGGGCGCCGAGATGCGGTACACCACGTGGTTGCCCTCCACCACGCGGCCGTCCGCCTCCGTCTTGCAGGCTTTGATGACCTGCCCCTTGTGGCTGGGGTTATAGAGCTCGAAGCAGTGCTAGGGGGACACGGGGCGTCAGCGAGGGCGGGAGAGTGGGCGGAGGGCAGAGCGGCGGGAGGGGGCGCTTACGGGCTTCCGGGGGTCCTCCACCTCCCGGATGCTGAGGTTCTCCAGCGGGATGATCCCCCGCGGCTCCTTGTCCTGCGGGAGAGCGAGCCCGCGGTCAGCCCCGCGCGGCTGCCGGGGCTGCCGGGGAGGGCCGGGCCCCGCCGCTCACCGTCGTGAACTCGAAGTAGTAGAGGCAGTTGTCCGTGAGGATGAACCACCGCCGCTTCCAGGTCTTCACGCGGCCGCCTGCAAGGAGGGCGGTGAGCGGGCGGGAGGACTGGCCCGGCCGCCAGAGGCCCGGGAGCCCCGGTGTGACACGTCCTTCCTCTGAGCGCACAGCCGTCGTCCAACACTCGGCCGGATCCTGCCCGCCGGGCACACGGGCGCGGGCCTGGGCTCTGCTGGTCCGAGTGCACCCACCCCACCGGCCTGCCTCCGCCCTCAGCCCGGAGGCACCCACACAACCCCCTGCCATTGAAAGGGCTTAACTCCCCACACGGAGAGACACGTCCGCCATCCGCCCAGGCCTCAACTCCCGTCAGGGCTCCGGTCACATGACCCAGCTCTGCGCGGCCCTGGGATCCATCAACAGCAATTACTCCTCGGCCGGGAGCTATTAGATTGGATTAATCTCTTAACAAGATCTGGGACACGCATGTAAACACACGGCTCAGCTGTGTCCACGCCTTTCTCTGTGGAAGAGAAATCCTTTTTGACCCTTAAATGTCCAGCAGAGGCAAATGGACTTCAGGTTCCAGCCCTGCTCCTGACGGAGCTCACAAACAACAAAGAGAGAGAGCAGGGTGGGCCTGACTGCAACCCTCACACAGGGAGGGGCTCTCCGGCCCGTCACTCCCGAGGGGACACGGCCCTCGGGGAGCTGGCCCTTCTCCACCGAACAAGCCAGCCACCGGGCCGGGTCACAGGTGCCACCCTGCACGGAGGCCTGGGTCCCGGGGAACATGGGGGACACTGGCCCACCCCCTGGTCATCCTGGGCTGAGGCATGGGGCTCCCACTCTGAGGTTTTCAGAGTTCAGGGGGAGGTGGCTTTTGGGGGGCCCCCAATGCCGGGACCCAGTGTCAGGGGGCAGACCTCGGAGACCCCTCGGGGACCCCGCACTGATGGGCATCTGTCCTGAGGCCAGGCCTGGGGAGGCAGGTCCGGCTGGGTCTCCCTGCTCCCTGACAGGCTGCCCTCCCCGGCCCTGCCCCAGGGTCTGTCCACATTCCTCCCCGAGACTCTGCTGCTCCTCCAGGGACCTCAGGCCACCCCAGCTCCACACTGGGCCCCGGGCCTTCGCTCAGCTCTCCTCGGCCCCGAGCCTCTGCCCCCCGCCCCCCGCTCTGCCCCCCCCCCCCCCCCCGCGGCCGCCACGCACCCAGCTTCAGCAGCCAGCCCTCACGGTCCGGGTTGAAGAACGTGTGCGTCAGGTCGTTGCCGTCGTCCTCCGGGATCTTGAACGGCTCGTTCTTGATGCTCTCATACAAGTTCTGGAGGACAGCGCGGCCGGCTCAGCGGAGCCGTCCCCCCAGCAGGCCGGCCCGGGGACGGGGCAGCGGCCAGGCCCGGGGACGGGGCAGCGGCCAGGCCCAGGCACGGGGCAGCGGCCAGGCCCGGGGACGGGGCAGCGGCCAGGCCCGGGCACGGGGCAGCGGCCAGGCCCGGGCACGGGGCAGCGGCCAGGCCCGGGGACGGGGCAGCGGCCAGGCCCGGGGAGGGGCAGCAGCCAGGCCCAGGCACGGGGCAGCGGCCAGGCCAGGGGAGGGGCAGCGGCCAGGCCAGGGGAGGGGCAGCGGCCAGGCCCAGGGAGGGGCAGCGGCCAGGCCCGGGGACGGGGCAGCGGCCTGGCCCGGGGACGGGGCAGCGGCCAGGCCTGGGGAGGGGCAGCGAGGGACGCACTAGAGATGCTTTCTGATCAGGGACTGGTGCTGCTCACGCTCACGGGAGACGGACCCCTGAGGTGCGAGGCCGCGGGAGGTGGTGGTGGGGGCACAGGGTGTGTGTGGAGGGGGAGGGGGCGGGGGCAGAACCAGCCGCTCACCCGCAGCAGCTCCTCGGGCAGGTCCCCGCCCTCGTTGATGCCGCGGTTCATGGTGACGAAGCGCTCGGCCGTGGGCTTGTCCCGCACGTTGTGGTTGTGCAGGCTGGTGTTGAGCATGATGATGGCGAAGGACAGCACGTAGCACGTGTCTGCAAGGTCAGAGGGCAGGTCAGAGGGCGGCTCAGCAGCCGGACGGCCGGGGTGGCGGCCCACGCACCCGGCCGCCCGCACTGACCCGTGGACTGGAACACGCCGGGGTTGCACAGGCAGTAGCGGGACGCGAACGCCTCCATCATGCGGTCGATCTTCTGGGCCTCGCCGGGGAGCCGGAAGCTCCACAGGAACTGCCTGGGGAGGAGACCCGAGGGCGTCAGGGTCCAGGCCGAGGACCTGCAGGTGCCCTGTGGGGCCCGGCAGCACCCAATCCAGGCCTCAGAGCCCACAACACACCCGCAGGCAGTGCTCCTCCCCCGGCTGGGATAGGGCGGGGCAGGGAGGACAGCAGAGCCGGGGACCCACTGGCCTCACCACCACCAACACCTGCCCCGCCAGGACCCTGAGGCTCTGGCCAGAGGCAGAGCGGCCAGGGGACATGGAGTCCGGCCCCTGTGCTTGCGCCCCTGCTGCTCCCTCCCGGGCCGTTTTCCAAACAGAAAACCCAGAATCGGCTGCAGCTTCTGCCGGCCCCTCGGGGCACCACGCCTCAGCCGCACCAGCCGTGGAGACCATGGAGGCCGGGTGATGGGAGCACTGCCCGCCCTCCCCCTATCCTCCCCCTCCCCCTCGGCCGCGTGCTCCCAGCACAGGGTGGCTGGACCAGGACCAGGGGCTGAGTGACCCAGGCCTCTGGGAGTCACGCCTGCCCCTCGGGGGGGGGGGGCGCGGAGGGGGCGGCTGACCACACACTCACCTTAAGGCCTGGACGAGGTTGAGGTCAGCAAACTCGTGCAGCTCGACAAACGCCTGGAGCACTTTGATGTTGAACTCGTCCCTGGAGAGAGAGGACGTGCTGAGCCCCCCCAGGGCTGTCCCTTCAGGACAAGCTGTGGCACTTCCTGTGGCTAAGTTAGGGCTCCAGTGTGAGGCTCGGAGCGGAGCCTCTGGGGGACCGACTGCGGCGCTGCCACGGGGAGGGTGTGAGCTGGCGGGAGGACGGCCCCCACGGCGTCCTTCAGGGCTGAAAGCTCGGGGGCGGGGGTGGGGGCGGGGAGCACCCCGAGGTGCAGCCCCGACTCACCGCTCCCCCAGGTAGTCCCCGATGACGGTCTTGTTGAGGCCCTCGCCCTTGTACAGGAACTGCGCCACGTCCTCGGGGGCGCTCTGCAGCAGCCCGTTCTCCACCAGGAACTGGATGCCCTGGGGGCGGAGGGCGGTGACGGGGGCACAGCCAGTGACTCTGCCCGGCGGGCTCAGGGGGCGCAGTCCCTGTCCCGGTTGGGCCTGGAGCTGCCCGGACCCGGCTTCTGAGCTGGTGCTCCCCCTCGGGGTGCGGCCCAGGGGCCATGGCCTGGCCGTGTCCCCCGTTCACGCAGCCTCTCCCCGGACACGCACTCCACCCCGAGGCTGTCCTTCCACCTGGAGCGGCCACCCGCGGGGCGCCACTCGGGTCAGCCCGTTGCCCGCGGCCGGACACGGACGCGCTCTCACCTTCTTGGGGTCCATGTTGAACTTCTTCCGCCCCATGGCGATGTGCTTGTTCCTCTGGGACGTTTTGCTGTGGAGACGGGACTGTGAGCGCCGACAGGCCCTCGGGGATGGCGTCCCTCACACGGAGGCCCCGCTGCCCGGGCGGAGGGACTGAGGCCCGTCCAGCCCTCCCCCCAGCCCGCTCACCTCTCCTCCACCGACGTCAGGTTGTCGATCTCGGTCATGACCTCGGCGATCTCGTACTTCAGTCTCTGCAAGACAGGCAGGAGGGAGGTGGGTCCTGCCTTCCTCTCCGGGTCTCGGGGTGCTGGCCCCGGGCACCCCCCTCGGCACCGGCCTGGACAGACCTCCTGACACACAGCGCCCCCACCAGGAGAGAGCGGCGCTCCGCCCGGCCCGCCTCTCCTCGCTAGGCGGGCTCTGCCGTTCGTGGGTGAAATCAGGAAGGGACACTGGGGCCTGGCTGGTGTAGCTCAGTGGTTGAACACCGACCCACAAACCAGGAGGTCCCGGTTCCATTCCGGTCAAGGGCACATGCCTGGGTTGTGGCTCGGTCCCAGTGGGGAGTGTGCAGGAGGCAGCTGATCATTGACGGTTCTCCCTCCCTCTCCCTTCCTCTCTGGCATCAATAAGAAAGAAGGACCGCTCACAGGCATTCAGAACGGGGCCCGCCCCGCCTGAGGTTGGTTCCCGTCACCTCCCTTTGCTGCTGAGACGAAGCGCCATGGACAGAGCCTGCCTGCCCCCGGACACCAGAGGACACTCCGTCCCTCCTGTGGCTCCACTTACTGACCGAGAGGCCTTGTCACCCCCTAACCTCTGCAGCCGCGGCTCAAACCTGGGGTCCGAGCTCCACAAGACCCCCCAGGCACCGCGTGACAACGCCATACCCTTCCCTAAGCTCCTTACTCTGCGCCCAAGCACCTCGGCCGGGACCCGTGTCTCCGAGAATGCAGGGCCAGCTCAGCAGCAAAAGCCGAGGAGCTACCCCCCTCCCAGCACAGACACCTTCAGAGAGTCCCTGTCTGCCGTGTGCCGGTCCTCAGGCCAAACACGCGGCTCCCAGGAGGGATGGTCTGGGCCGGCCTGGGGCGCCCGGGCCTCGGGGCCTCTTGCTTTGTCTGGGCAGCACAGAGGCTCCCTGACTCCTTGGGCAGCCCGAGGGCACAGGAGCGGCTTCTGGATACTTTTTACAATGGACACCCGGCTGCTCCTGCGGCCGCCCGCCCCAGGACACTGGGGGAGGGACACGGCCGTCCGCCTGCTTTCTCCTCTGGCCGCTCGCACAGCTGCAGGCCCTGTGCTCGGCTGGACCCCAGAGCGTTGCTCCCTCACGAGGTGCCGCGCCCCCAATCGGAGGGGCTGTGCCCCCCAAAGGTCTCCCGCACACGCAGAGAGCATTGTGCCTGCAGGGGCTGTGGCTTTTAAACAGACTTTTTGTTGTTGTTAGTCCTCACCCTAGGATGTTTTTCCATTGATTTTTAGAGAGAGTGGAAGGGGGAGACAGAGAGAGAGAGAGAGACATCGATGTGAGAGAGACACATGGGAATCGAACCTGGGACCCTTCAGTCTACGGGCCAAAGGTCTGTCCCGAGCCAAACCAGCGAGCGCTGGAAAAGCCTTCGGGGACCCTGGCATCGGGGGGTGTCTGCGGGTGAGCGGATCTGCCCCGTCTCGGTGGCGCAGAGGGACGCGGCGCGGTGCTCAGGGCCGTGCAGCTGCGGGCCCGCAGAGCAGCCCGGCCGGCCTACCTCGATGTCATCGATGAGCTCCTTCTTCCTCCGGCGGATGTCCAGCAGCTCCTCCCGCTCCTCCGAGGACAGGTCCTCGGGCACTGGAAGGAGAGGCACACGGACGTGAGAGGCCGGCCTGAGCCGCCCGTCCCCCACGACACCCCGGCCCCCGAGGGGCGCCCGTAACAGGACCCGCAGCCAGGGAAGGCCGGCCTCCGCTGGGACAGGGCTGGATCGCGGGGAAGAGGGAGCCGGAGGCGGCTGCGGCCTCCCTGCACCCACACCGGCCCCGGGCGGGGGCGCGCTCTGAGTTACAGCGGGCGGGAGCGGGTACAGGGAGGACGGACACCGGAATCTGGGCGGTGGTCCTTCCCGAGAGGCCGGGCACCTCGGAGGACGGGCCCCGGGGCAGCCACGAGGGTGGCCGGTTTGGCACAGCTGGTCACAGCCTCTGGCTCATGAGTGCCTCTGTGGTGTCTGCCATTTCTGCCTCGGCCACATGCGCTCACCGTGGAGGGCTCTGTCCACTGTGGACACCAGACCGGCTCCGGACCCCCTCTGACCAGGAGAAGGGGGCCCTTTGGGAACACTGAGCTGCCCTGGGGCCCCAGCCGTGTGCTCTGGGGGAGCCCAGCCAGCGGCCCGGAGAGTGACCTCTACTGGGGACAGGAACCCCTGGCCGAGTCCCAGACTCCTCAGCGTCGCAGCCTCCCAGCTCAGCGCACACAGGAGAGCGAGGACCCCAGCCGCTGGCTGCCTCATCCAGGTACAGAGATCCGACCAGCGGCCCCGACCAGGGGGACCCAGACCAGCAGGCCCCCCGACCAGCGGCCCCCGACCAGCGGGAACCCCGACCAGTGGGACCCCGACCAGCGAACACACATCTGAGGACGGTAACCAGTGCGGTTTTAAGCCAATCACGTTGTAATACTTTGTTGCCGGTCAAAACACCGGATATATTTACAAGGAACAGGGGTGGGGAAAGGGCCGAGGTTTAAACCTGGACACAGAGAAGCAAAGACGACAGTGGCAGCAGCAGCGTGTTTAAAAGGTGAGAGGAGCTAATCTGCAGGAGGGCAGACCCCGGGCAGACCTATAGGGGAAGCTGCCCTTACGGTAGCGCAGGCGGAGAGTCACTAGGCCGTCACACCGTGGACAGCGTGAACTCACACGCGTCCAAGGGAACGGCCTCAGCACGTACAAAGCAGAGACGACAGATGTGCTTAGAGGATGTAATTCTTCCATCAGAGGCAAAGGGGGGCAGGCACAGGTTTGACTGACGTGATTAACAAGCTTGAACCGATGGCAGGGCATGCTCCATCGGCTTTACGACGGCCACTGAAGACTCTCTGAAGCAATGAACACGGAGGTCACTGCCTTCGCACCGCAAACACGCATGTCACTGCCTGCAAACATGCATGTCACCACCTGCAAACACGTCACCGCCTGCAAACACACGTGTCACCGCCTGCAAACACGGGCCCGTGCTCCTCGCGGCTTCTGTGCAAAACACTCGGGAGCCAGCGCCTGCCGCAGCCACAGCCTGGCTGGTGCCCGGGCGCCTGCCGCTTGGGGCCCAGAGGCCTCGGCGTGAGAACCTGCAGACTCTGGAAAGCTCCAGAAGCAATCACGGCAAAGCTTCCTCTGAAGGAAGCGTGTCCCGGGCCTCTGGCGGCCCGAGGACGACACCCTCAGGAACACGGCCCTCCGGAGGGTGCCTGGCTGTGCGTCACACCTGGGCCAGCGCGTCCTGCTCACGTTTGCTTTCACATGGCCACATGGAGGGACGTTTCCACAGAACCACGTGGACTACACGTGAAGAGCTCCGTGGTCGGTGTCAGTGACCGTGTCAGTGAGAGGCAGCTTTTTCTCCTTGTGGCGCACGCACTGGCGCTGCGTCTGGGCAGGAGGAGGGGGCCCCTTGGGTCAGCAGGCCCCAGCCGAGCGGCAGACACCAGGGCGTGGGGAGCAGCTGGCATCCTCCCTGACCGCGCTGAGGCCGGTGCTGGAGGCGGGCGCCCTGCTGGACGGCAGAGCGGCGTTCTCTGTGCTCATGGAGTTCACTCCTCCCCGCGTCACTGGGGGACGCTGGTTCAAGTGCAGAGTCAGGAAGGGGTCCCCTGCACATGCCCCGAGCCCACCGCCCAGCAGGCTCTCCGCCGTCACCCCTGCCATCCCCCGCCCCCTCCTCTCCCGCCCCCTCCTCTCCCTGGCTAGCACCACTCCGGTCTGGGTGGGTTTTATGGGTGCAGATGGGTATGTGTTTGCGTAACCCCTTCACCTCTGTCTCACCGGCGCCCCAGCCCCGCCTCTGGCAGCTGTCAGTCCTGTGTATCTGCTGCTCTCTCAGTTCTGTCTGTTGTTTTGTCCATTGGACTCCACGTGTGACACGCGGTCCTTGTGGTTCTGAGCGCTCAGTCCCTGAGGGCGCTGACAGCCGGCTCACGGGAGGTGGGCTCTGCCCCCGGGGTGTGCGTGCGAGACTGCAGGTGGGGGTGCAGCAGCGGGGGCCCCATTCCTATGGCACCAGAGGCCCGGGCCCCCCACAGGAGCTCCTGCAGGGACCCCCATCAGGAGGCCAGGCCGGCCCCTCCTCCAACTGCTCCAGGGCTGTGGCCGCTCGGTCTCGGCACCACAGTCCCTTCCGCTCCAAATACACAGCGGGCCTGCCGCTGGCTGAGAACTTTCTTTTGTTAAATATATTTTTGTTGATTTTTTGAGAGAGTGAGGAAAGGAGAGGGAGAGGGAGAGAAACATAGGTGAGAGAAACATCAACCAGCTGCCTCCTGCACGCCCCCTACTGAAGATGGTGCCTGGGCCCTGACCGAGAATCAAACCGTGACCTCCTGGTTCACAGATGTGTGCTCAACCACTGAGCCACCCTGGCCGGGCCCAAGAGAATGTTTTAAAAAGCAGCTCCACCAACACCCTGGCAGGCCTGCTCATAACCGCCAACGAGCCAATTCCTACACTGAGCTGAGCCCTCACTGGCGGCGTTCACACAGAAGTGAGCCGAGTGAAGAGCGTCTTCCCCTCCCGGCCCCCTGCGTGGAGGGCAGGAGCCACACAGATCCATTCCCCGGAGATGCACGGGCAGAGAGTGACCACAGCCGGCAAGCCACCAAGACCCACGACAGACACAAACGCCGTGTCTCCCTGTCACACACACGCTGTCAACACCCCGCCTGCTCCTCACCCTTCCCCTCACTGAAGAGGCCGAGCTTGTGCCGGCGCAGAGAGAGCAAACGAGAAGCAGAAGGAAAGCGAAGCCGCTCCAGTCCCCACTCCAGGCCGATCCTCCTGAGCAGAGCCACGTGCGCAGACAGAGGGAGAGCGGAGGTGAGGGTCGTTTTTAAGCTGATTCCGAGAGGAAGGGAGAGGGAGAGAGAAGCTCCAATGATGAGAGAATCACTGACAGCTGCCTTCCGCACGCCCCCCACCGGGGACCGAGCCTGCAACCCGGGGGTGTGTCCTGACGGACGGAACCCTTCGGTCCGCAGGCCGAGGCTCCGTCCCGAGCCTGAGGATGGCACTGAGGATGGAGACTGGTGCCCGCCGCGGGGGCCAGGGCGCACCGGGCAGCCGGGGCCTTTCTCAGGGGCATTCACTTCCTTGTAATGAGCACCTCACTGATCGCTTCTCTTGACCACACCACCCAGCCCTTTACAACCCTCCGCTGCCCTTTCCCACAACAGCTCTGCAGACACGGCCATCAATAAGACAAACAAGACTCACACAAGACTCTTGGTCATTTAACCTCAATCCTTCTTAGTTTATTTTAAACCCAAATGTACTCCCGAAGAGAGAGCACATTTAAAGCACAAATTAATTTAAATCGAAAGATCTATGGGGGGATAACGAGCTTTCACACGCCCGCTGGAGGTCAGCCCCCCTCTGCCGCCCCCCCCTCCGCGCACCCTCTCCCCATCCTCCCCCTCCCCCGCCTCCACACCAGTGCACAAGCCAGGGGAGCATTCTCCCCTTGGCCGCACTCAACTCCCAGCCTGGCCTGGCTCTCCTCCTCCTCCTCCCTCAGCCACACCCTCTCATCTCCCGCTGCTCTCTTCCCACCACCCACAAATATAACCGCACTCAGCGCCCCCTGGGAACTAGCGTTTCTGCCCCCTTCCCTCCCGGATAAACTGCCACAGAGACCAGGAGCTAAACACCTGCCCCGGCCCGAGCCTGGAAGCAGACGGAGACGGACAGAGGCTCCGCAGCTCTGGGACAGGACGTGGGCCAGCGCGGAGAGAGGCAGGAAGCTCCGCAGAACAGGACGCAGAGCCTGGATAAGGAATCGCCTGCAAACACTTCAGAGCAGCCCAGCCTGTGTGGCTCAGGGGCTGAGCATCAACCCGTGAAGCAGGAGGCCACCGGTGTGATTCCTAGTCAGAGCCCATATGTATTCTCTTCAAACCAACGGTGCGGGCGACGGGTGCCCACGTGTAAAAAAGCGAAACATACTCCAGGCAAACGTTAACGCCACATGGACCAATGAGCTAGATGGAACGGCTAAACCCACACAATCTTAGAAGATATGGGGTACGTCTTCATGACTCTGGGTTTGGTGATGCCTCCACTGCTGCCCGCTGCCAGGGCTGCATCGCCGACGCCCACCATGTTCCACACCACCCCTTGGCGGTCAGCGCATGTCATAGCGAGCGGTCCAAGGGGACAATCTGCACCTCAGGCTCTTATTATATAGGATAGGAGGTCCAGAAAGGTGAAGCTGTAGTGACAAAAAGACCAGTGGTGGCTGGGTGGGGTCTCGCAAGTGATGAGGCTGGTCTAACACTGCCTGGGCGGTGGCTGCCGACTCTGTAAGTTCACTGAGAGTCACCAAATTGCGGTTTAAGTGGAAGAACTGTATGTGCACAAACTGTGTCTGGAGCAAGCGGTGAGGAAGCTTCCTTCTATTTCGGAATGCTGCACCAGGGCCTCGGCTCCCACCCTGCAGTGTGGCCTGTTTTTCCATTTCACTTCTGTGTTTTCCAGCAGAAGTAGAAAAAGCAGCCCAGCCGGTGTGGCTCAGTGGTTGAGCACTGACCTTCAAACCAGGTCACCTTTTGATTCCCGGTTGGGGCACATGCTCAGGCTGTGG